AGCGGTTTATAGAGTCAGCATATTGCCCCCAACAATTTGAGTCCTCATTTTACCCACCTCGGAAGGATAGAAGGCTGAGTCGACCTGGAGCCTGATGAAATTTGAATGGCCAAATTGCAGTCAGTCGGCAGTCAGCAGAAGTAGCCTGCAGTACTGCACTTTAACCACTGCGCCACCGTGGCTCAGTGTACTTGGGTACTTGATTAAGAAGTACACAGAATCATAGAATAATAGGGCTGGAAGGACCTTAGTATAACAGAGTTGTAAGGGACCTTGGAGGTCTAGTCCAAACCCCTGCTCAGACAGGAAACCCTACACTACTTCAGACAAATGGTTATCCAACATCTGCTTAAAAATTTTCAGTGTTGGAGCACTCACAACTTCTGGAGGCAAGTTGTTCCAGTTATTAATTGTTCTGTCAGGAAATTTCTCCTTAGTTCTAAGTTACTTCTCTCCTTGATTAGTTTCCACCTGTTGCTTTTTGTCCTACCCTCAGGTGCTTTGGAGAATAGCTTGACTCCCTCTTCTTTATGGCAACCCCTGAGATATTGGAAGACTGCTATCATGTCTTCCCTAGTCCTTCTTTTCATTAAACTAGACATACCCAGTTCCTACAACCGTTCTTCGTATGTTTTAGCCTCCAGTCCCCTAATCATCTTGGAGGTCTTCTACTCCAACCCCATCTACTCCAACATCCCTATTTTTTTTTTCAGGTGGGAGATGCTAATTTATAAGAGTTGTGAATAATTCACTCTTACAGAGATAGATAGATAGATAGATAGATAGATAGATAGATAGATAGATAGATAGATAGATTTATTTATTTATTTATTTATTTATTTATTTATTTATTTATTTATTTATTTATTTATTTTCAGATTTCTATGCCGCCCAACTCTCCGAGGACTCTGGGCGGCTTACAACAAAGACAGTATGAACAATATACAATAAGAGACATTAAAACCCATACACACCGCTCATGGCCGGATCTCACAAGATCGCAGTGGTGAGATCAACGGCCCCAAGCCTGCCGGAAAAGCCAGGTTTTCACCAGTTTCCGGAAGGCCAGTAGGGTGGGAGCGGTCCTGGCCTCAGGAGGTAGCTGAGTCCAACCCCCTGCTCAAGCAGGAAATGCTATAACATTCCAGACGAATGGCTGTCTAATCTCTTCTTAAAAACCTCCAATGAAAACAATGGAAAGCAAGCCCTTCCATTGACTAAATGTTCTCACTGACAGGAAATTTTGCCTTAATTCTAGGTTGGATCTCTCTTTGATAAATTTCCATCCATTACTTCTTGTCCTGCCCTCAGATGCTTTGGAGAATAGATCAACCCACTCTTTTCTGTGACAGTCCCTCAAATATTAGAAGACCGCTATCTTGTCACTGCCTGGTCCTTCTCTTCATTAAACTAGACATACCCCGTTCCCTCAATTGTTCCTAGCATGCTTTAGCCTCCAATCCCCTAATCATCTTTGCTGGTTGAGAAGATATCTTCTGTATTTTCCTCATTATATTTATGTATGACTTTCTCCCTGCCCCCATGTATGTGTGTGTGTTTGTCTGTATGCATATCTCTAAGGGGAATGGGTAGGTAAAAAAAAATACAAGAAATATAAAATGCAAAATATAAATAAGTACACTTATTCTTTCATATCCTCTATGTATATGAATGTATTGAGTGTAAAATGTCTTTCTGTGGCCAGAAACTGTGGCAATCCTACTGCTGGTATTTTGTTTATTTTACCTTCCTCCTCCCCACTTCCCAAAGCCTTAGAGTGCAGCAGTTTATAAATCTCATACATAAAAAAAATAAATAAATCACATGAGCAGCTCCGCTTAAAATGGCATCGTTGGGCCATCAACTCGGAGGACTGTTACTCTATATTTATGGGGTGGGGGAGAAGCGTTAAGGACCCCACAATCATAATCAGATAGGACGCCACTTAGTTTTAAGTGCCTATTAACCGATTCTAAATTGTAGTGGAATGTCTTTGCAAGTACTTTTGACATTCACATTCATATAGCTGCTCTGATCAAAGCTGATGGAAGCATATAGCAAATGAGCCAATGATAATGCAGCCAGTAAAGCATCACAGAGTGAGTCGCAAGCAATCCTTGATTGTCTCTTCTCCCCTCCTGCTTCTTTTCCCCTTTTTCCATACGGTTATTTTATTGTCCCATTTCCCCAGTTATTTTCACCTGAGGAACATATTGGTTTTAAGGCCATTCAGTGAGTACGTGTGTGTCCGTATATAAAACGTTCCTGGGTTTGCATCTCTCATATGGATGGTCAGAGAAATGAATGAAATCTGACATATCGTCACCGCTACCGGCTCGGCCGAACCGGACCGAACCGGGAGGAACCCACCACTGCCTAATATGGCTTCCAAAGCTGACACCTACATTACGTTGCAGATTGCATCTTAAATTATACCTTTCTATCATTCCTCATCTCACAATGCAGAAAACAGTGCTTTAGATTTATTATTATTATTTTTTTGCAAGTATTGTCTCAAGAGGCCTCTTGATACACAGGGAGAATGGCAGCCACCAAACCACACATAGGATTTGTCAATCGATAGGAGACACATAGGAGATTCTCAATCGATCCTACACACAGGCTTCCATCAAGGCAGCAGAGAAGCACAACTTCAAATGAAAGAATGACTGCCAAGATCTCCCTTTAAATCCCACTCCTATTAGAAAATACCTTCCAAAATTGGCCAGGGGAATCCGTGCTTATTTCGTCAGCTCTCAATCCTTCCTCACTCCCTGCCTACCTCCCCAAAGGGCCTAATAATCTTGCAATGACAAACTTAATTGCTATTCAAAGCCTGCGCTTTGAATTGTACCTGGGAACACAAGCAAAAAAACATGTTAACCGATGCACAGCCTGATTAATAATCTGGACGAGGGTGTTTGAGAAGAGGTAGTTCCCCATGTAATACCCTGCAGAGGAAATAGTATTATTGTTTGTTTGACTCGGCTTAGCAAATTGAAATGTGTGCCATTAAACTAACAAATGACTCAGATGAGCTTTAACTCAATACTAATGAAGAAGGAATCCCACACAATTAAACCAGTCACGTGGGCAACCACAATGGAGGGATGTGGGAGCTTTTTTTCCGCAGCTTTAATATCTCAACATGATCTTTTCAGGAGAAGTGCCCTGAATCAAAAGCCTGAACATGAGGGAGATGGGGGGAGGGGGGGAGGAATAGGAAAAAACAGGAAGGAATAACTACATAAATAAATAGGAAGATTTTCAACTTGTACTTGTACTTATAGAGAGTTATTGACTAGATAAATCAAAGCAGGAAAATGCAGCCATCCTGGGTTTGAGACACCTTCATGTACTGCAGATTCTGCTTAACAGCCTCGCTGATAAAAAAAAAACCAAGCCACTAAAATGGAAGAAGAATTAACTCTGCAGAGGGAAGTTTATGTCTGTGATTTATGAGAGAAATAGTGGAGGCTACAACTTAACCAGAGAAGTGTAGCCAAAAGAGAGTGAATCCCAGCTATTTGTTACACCTCTTCCACATTCTTCCAAAAGGCACAGTGTAATTATGACATTAGCCACACTCAAAATGCTTTCAACAATTATCCCCCACAAATATTAAACTGTTCCTTATGAGGATCTATATGTGGACATATGTTGTGCTTGGAAGACCTTACTACTTGGGTATTCAATACAATAAAAAGGTAAAGGTTCCCCTCGCACATATGTGCTAGTCGTTCCCGACTCTAGGGGTCGATGCTCATCTCCGTTTCAAAGCCGAAGAGACAGCACTGTCTGAAGACCTCTCCATGGTCATGTGGCCGGCATGACTCAATGCCAAAGGTGCATGGAACGCTGTTGCCTTCCCACCAAAGGTGGTCCCTATTTTTTCTACTTGCATTTTTTACGTGCTTTCGAACTGCTAGGTTGGCAGAAGCTGGGACAAGTAACAGGAGCTCACCCCGTTACACAGCATTAGGGATTCGAACCGCTGAACTGCCGACCTTTCGATTGACAAGCTCAGCGTCTTAGCCACTGAGCCACCGCATCACTTATTCAATACAATACAATACAGTAATAAATTGTATTGCGGGTTGGGGTGCGGTCCTTTTAACGGACTTGGGTTAGCAATGATGGTTGACTGCCTGCATAAAGAATGCCAACAATTGAATGTCCCGTCAGGTTTGGCACTTCATGCAACTAGCAATGTCCTTGCAATTCAATTTGCTTTCCAGACCTGGGTACTCCAATACTTCAACCTACAACAAGTTGACTTGGTTGGAAGAACAGGGAGAGGGCAGCGTGCCAGGCAAGTAACAATCCAATCAGCAGTGTGGTTAGAGGGGATGAGTTCATTCAGCCGGTTCGGAACGGTTCAGGCAAACCGGTAGTGGAAATCACAGGTGGGCCAGCCCACCCGCCCCGGCTCTATGCTGTCCTATTTTCTCCTGGTGATGGCCACATAATCCTAGTCCAGGGGTCTGCAACCATAAACCTCAAAGAGCCATTTGGACTCATTTCCCACAGAAAAGAAAACACCGGGAGCCACAAAATCCTTCCCGTGCCTGACTATTTCTTGAGCGGCCACAAAACTAGCATATGTAGTTGAATTAAACTTTCTCTTTTCTTCTGAAACTTTTCTTTTCTTGGATTTATCCATGGTTGGCCTACCGGCGGTTGAAAAGCTCAATAAATTGCATGCCAGTGGGTGTCGCAGATTGGCGGTTGTGAGTGATACTTGGAGTGACAGGGAGTGGCAGCAGAGGGGTGAAAGAGCCACATGCGGCTCCAGAGCCACAGGTTGCTGACTCCTGTCCTAGTCTAGGACAGCTTTAAGGTATACCTGTTTCCACCACACAGCTGTCTTCCCAATATGAAGTTATTTGCAATCCCTGAACCAAAATACACCCAGAAAATCCACAATTTACCTTTCCCACCTACCTCTACCCAGCATGGACTTCATTGAAGGGGGAGGGGTGAAAGGGATTTATTTGTACCTTTCATTCCAAACTTTGATCGCCGTCCATATTTGTTGATCATAATAAATAGGACCACCAGGAGGACACAGGCAAACGCCGCGAGACCCACTGCGATAGAGACCTATAAAAAGAATATCCTGGATGTTAGAGGATCATTGAATTCTCAAAATCACTTGCATTCAAATGCATACGTTTGTCTTAATAGATGTAATTTATTATTTTTGCATGGGAATTCTGCAAGTAATCAAATCATTAAAATAATTAAACTGTCTTCATGTCAAATAAAGTAAAAACAACATAAATATTATAAGTTTCTCTTATATATTAAAATGAAGGGGAAGTGTGTGTGCATGTATGTATGTGTACACACATACACACACACATATATCAAATTTATATTTCACTGATAATCAGGTATCTCGATAGAAAAACACTTATATATAAAGTGTTTTTCTATCAAGACACCTGGTCTGCCCCAGCATGTGGGAGGGAGCATACTGCATCCCTTTTGCCTTTCAGCTCCAAACCAGGAGCCCTCAAGCAGTCACATTCATGACAAACCATTTTATACCAAATATAAAATTATATGTATGTATGTATGTATGTATGTATAACAAACTATTCTAAAAATACGAGTTCCAGGTATATTAGTAAAGAAAGAAGCAGACATCCTGCGAGCTCCGGAACTTAAAATTTTAAAATAATTAAAAATTTTATTTAACTAAGCTTTCGTCAGCCATCTGCTGACATCGTCAGAGTATTAAACTACCATTACATATATAACCCTAGTGGGCTCCTGGGGGTTCGGCAGGGTTCAGGAGAACCCCCAAATGCCACCCCTAGCTGGCCATGCCCACCCCGCCCCTCCCCTCCCAGGAGTCTCCATGCGGCCCATTCATCGTTCTAGGTAAGTGCAGGGGCTGCGCAGAGGGTCTGGGAGGGCAAAAATGGGCCTACCTGCAGTTCCGGAAGTCTGGAAACAGGCCTGTTTCTGGCCTCCGGAGGACCTCCAGATTCTGGGGGAAGCTGTTTTTGCCCTCCTGGAGGTTCAAAAAAAGCCTCAGGAGCCTGGGGAGGGTGGAAAACACACACCCCCTGCCGTGGTGCAGGCGGCCGACTAGACCATGCCCACCATGGCCACACCCACCCAACAACGGGGTAGCGAACCCATTGCTAAAGGATCTGAAGCCCACCCCTAAATAACACACACACACACACATACATCAGTGGTGGGTTGTCCCCGGTTCAGACTGGTTCTATAGAACCGGTAGTAAAACCGGCGGGAGGCTCTGCCCACCGACCCCAACGTCATCAGAACGCTTCTGCAGAAGAGCGCGCATGGCCCTGTTGCAAACCAGTAGTAAAGGTAAGTAGAACCCACCCGATATACATATACATATACATATACATATACATATACATATACATATACATATACATATACATATACACATATACATGCATGTATGATTCAGAGAGAAAGAAAGAGATAAACTCAAGAAATACATAACAGAAAAATAAACCTTCAAGGAGCAAGGAAAAGGACAAAGCTATAGCAGAACATGGAATACCCATTCAACTTTTTTCCCCATCAAATTAATAAGAGATCCTTCAGAATTAAGTATTAGGTAGGTTGGACACACTGTTCAATTCCTGGAAATTTTTAAATTAAACTTATTATCGCTCTAGAATTCAACTGGTTTGAGTTGAATACCTTCCAATATTTGAGCTTAATTATTATTGTGCCCTTTGCTGTTGGATCAAGTCATTTTGTTTTGATCATCGACCAATATAATACTCAAAAATACAATTACAGCCATCCCACCATAATAATTATCAAAAGTATACAAAAAAGGACTAAAATTTAGATCAACCATACAAATTAATTTTTTAATATCATTATTTAGGTGTTTATTTAGTTATTTATTTCCTTTTAAGTTTCGCTCTAAGAGACTCACAGTGTAAAAGTCTTAAACTAAGATGCTAAATTTTACGTTTGAAAGAGAAAAGTGAATATAGTGGAGATTTATATAATCTGGGCAGAAGTATAGATTCCTAACTGTGGTTAAATTTTAAAAGCTAACATGAATTATAAAATGACTATGTCATCAAGATCTACAGATAATAATCTATGTGTAATATTAATATTGCAAGTATATGAATTATAATAGTATGGTATAAAAATGGAATAGTACGTAAATGAATTATTATTATATTGATTTAAAAGGCTGTGCCATTACCAACTGTGATTGCTGACTTTCTGCAGAGTTAAGAGGTCTGGAACAATTTTGTTGTAATATGCAAATAAAAGCATGCTACAGCTGGCATTTACTCCAAAAATATTAAACTGTTAGGATCAGATACTATTTCTTCTTTACAAAGGCTGGCCCCTGCCCCTTAAAAAGCCGTTCCCTGTGTGATTAGAATGACCTCAATCCTGTTGGTTTTTCACAGAAGATCTGGATGTATTCCCATGCATGGAGTTCAGACTGTTAGTTGGAGCATATGAAGTTGCTAACTAGTGGCAGACCAGTTTGGTGTGTATGTGTGTAGTGTGTATATATAGTCCCAGAGTTACTATGTGTCAGGGTAATGATGATTTAAAGCTAACCAGCCAATGTAAGGCTAATGCAACTGTAAAACTGATGAAATGTAAGGCTGATGCAATGAGAATGAATCAGCATTGGTATAGCCTCTTTAAGACTCTGATGGGGTCCACACAAGTCTTCTACCCCTTTAAAAGGTGTTTATAACTTTCAGCCAGGAGAGGGCGTATTCTCTCTCCTTGTGTCCGGTATTGATTGCTGAGCTCTCTCCGTGTAGAGTTAAGAAGAAGTTTGATTGCTAGTGAGGTATTTGCAACCACATATACCATTTCTGAATATGTCTTGTTTATAAACCACTGTTAAACGTCTAAGTCTCTGTGTGCTGTGTTTTGCTCCTGGGTTGTCTCCTAATAGTAGTCTGCAAAACGCTGCAAACGCTCTGACACTATGGTTAGATGAGCAATCATATAGAATGAATGAATGAATGAATGAATGAATGAATGAATGAATGAGTGAATGAGATCCTCTTTTAAAATATTATTTGCATGAAAGATGCTTGTGTAGAGAAATGGAGGGTGCCAATGCCCCTATACCAATAATCATACCTCAGATATAAAGTCCAACAGATTTTTTTTTTTAAAAAAATAATGTTTTTTAGTGCCTTCAAGTGTAGGGTTGACCTGGTGACAGTCTCAACTTGTCTCTGAAGTTTTCTTGGCAATGTTTTTTGGAAGTGGTTTGCCATTGCCTTCTTCCTAGGGCTGAGAGTGAGTGACTGGCTCAAGGTCACCCAGATGGTTTGTGCCTAAGGCAGAACTAGAACTCATTCTCCCAGTTTCTAGCCTGATACCTTAATTACCACGCCAGATGGGTTCTTCTCATCTTCTCTCAGGTTATATATGCTTGTTTATGTCCACACAGAATTAAGTCCCATTGCAGTACAGAACTTATCCTGATGTAATTATGTTCAGGAATGCAACTACGGCCAAGTTGTAGTATCACCCTTATAAGATCCAGAACCAGTTAGGCCTAAACAAATCCCAAACTAGCTAAATAATTCTTTTACACTGATAAAAAAGTATTTATTTACCAAAAACTACCACATTATATCGATACAATAAATACTGAGGGGGAAACTAAAATGAATACATTCATGTGGAAATGTAGTTTTCTTAATGCTCAAGAGAGGCCATTTGGTTGGGACCAATAGTGGTCAAAGTTGTGGAGCTAATCTGAAACCTAGCATCAATCATTGCTGGGAACCAATTTCCATTTCCATTTATACACCTTGGTGAACTTTCCTTCTGCATCAAAACAAGCCAAAGAGAATGGAGAAGCTGAAGGCCATTTAAATCAAAACATTCTATATTTAAACCAACAAGCCCTCAAAATGCCAAAGGGCTTATGATACTTTACAGAATAATCAATTCAGCTAGCAGACATTTTAAGGCACCAAAACACCACAGTCATAAATGGGAAGTACTGGTAGGAAAATATAATCAGCATTACAATCAGTGTACCAGTTAAAGAAGGGCCTTTTATGATAGTTTTATACAAAAAGGCAGTTATATTAAAAGCACCTGAACATCTTGACATCTTAAAGAGTCACCTTTATAAAACAGATTTTATGAACTGGAATTGGATTCATCGGATGGAGGAGATTCCTGTCGTACAAGTTGTTTGTGCCTTACTGAAGTTATTTGCTTTTAACAACCAGAACCAGTCCTTCCTGTGTTGTTGCAATCTTGTTTGCGTTGGACGGTAATTCCTGATATAAGAAGGGTTTTGTGTAAGAGTGCCATTAGATTCATCTGTGAATCGTTAGGAGAGACATGACGTTAACCACTTGAGGGCATTTCACACATTCCAGATTTTGTAAGGGCGAGTTTGCAAACAGCTACAAATGAAGCAATGTGTAAATGAGATCAAGTCATTTTGACCAAGAGGTCCGTCATGTTGGCACACTCAGCAGAGACACGAGATTTTGCTGTGGCCCCCATCAAAGTGGGAGGCCCAGGCCTTCTTGCCCCCTAATGAGAAAAATGACCCACGGACAACATTCAAAGGCCAACAACCGAAGAAGTTGTGAATCACTGAAAAAGTTTTGGAAAGGGTAAAAAGATAGCAACGGGATCCATAAATAAGACAGGAGAGAAACAAAAGAGAAGAGAATGAAAATGAGTTTTGCTGGAGGCAGCTCTCATACTTTCTGGTAAACATATTGACAGATAATTTATCCTTCGTTTTTGGGTGCACAGAAAGATTTCTCTTAAAAGATCTACCCTCCCGTATTGGGAAAATATTCTTCCTGCTCTGTGCTTTTGACTGCAAACCCTACTTCTTTTCAAAACGAAATACACATTGCATAAAATAAAGAGAGGTGTTTTTTTTTTTCCGCTTGCAGGCTGTTGTCTTCTCCAGTCTGGAATAATCCTCATATTTTATACATGTTGTGCTTTATCAGATCTGCCTAGTATTTTTTTTTTCCTTTCGCTTTGTTTTCTACAAGCGGGAAAGTTGGGGAGCCAAAACAGGCCATGGGGAAGGAGAACTTTGCACGATGGTTGTCCTTAAGGAAACACAACCTGCATGCAATGCACATGAGCACCACAGCAAAAACAAGATATGACATCTTTCTCTGCCCTGGGATTGTGTTTGCTCATTCAACTATTTTTCCCCCCAGCATCTCTCCTCTCTCCAAAGTGGTGACACCCCAAGGAATTCTTGAACATCGGTTTTTGCTGTGTTTTATCAAACGGCCCTAAGAATGGGAAAGCATGCTTATTACAAATCAGATATGGAGGAATCTTCCTGGGAATTAGTACATTATGTTCAACAAGCTGAATGCACACAAATATTCAGTGGTTAGATTCATATACTACCGGTACCCTAAACTAAAATAAGCTTTGGAAGGTTGCAACTCGGTGATAGTCTTCCAAAGTAATCAAGACATCATCTAAGCCACCGTATGATCTACATCAGGGCTGTCAAACGCGTGTCATCACAATGCCATCACATGATGTATCGCAACTTTTTCCCGTTTCCTAAACCAGGTGTGGGTGTGGCCAGCGCATGATGCATCCGGCCTGCGGGCCGTGAGTTTGATAATCCTGGTCTACATGTTTAGGGCAGTGGTGGGTTTCCAAAATTTTTACTACTGGTTCTGTGGGTGTGGCTTGGTGGGCATGGCATTGTGGGCGTGGCAGGGGAAGGAAACTGTAAAATCTCCATTCCCACCCCACTCCAGGGGAAGGATACTGCAAAATCTCCATCCCCTCCCCACTCCAGGGGAAGGATGCTGCAAAATCTCCATCCCCACCCCACTCCAGGGGAAGGATGCTGCAAAATCCCCATTTCCTCCTGATCAGCTGGGACTCGGGAGGCAGAGAATAGAGGGGGCTGGGGCCAGTCAGAGGTGGTATTTACCAGTTCTCCAAACTACTCAAAATTTCCGCTACCGGTTCTCCAGAACTGGTCCGAACCTGCTGTAACCCATCTCTGGTTCAGAGATAGATGATGATGTGGATTCCGCAACCATATTCAGATTTAGCATAGAAACACCAGTTTTTCCACCTACTTTTCTTCACATATAATTCTATTGCATGAGCCCTCTGCATCCACAGCAAACAACATTCACAACCAGATATGCTCTTTTAACAATGAGGCAAAAATGAAATCTTCTAAAATTTCCTAGGTACAAATTCTAAAGAGGAGTGGTCCAAAGGAGACTGATAGGATGATATTTGTTTGATTCTACAATCATACAAATGACTTTGTTCTACCCAGAAACACCATTCTAGGACAACTTACAATATGGAAACAGCTACCGTATTTCCCCAAAAATAAGCCCTCCCCAAAAATATTTAAATACATGCGCAGCCGTTCCCCGCCATTTCCTCTGGTTAGGGTTAGGGAGACAGAGCTGGAAATCAGGTAAGATGGTAAGAGGAGCCCCGTCTCACTCCATGCGCCCCAAAATAATAAGACCTTCCCGAAAATAAGGCCAAGCGCTTATTTCAGGGTTCAAAAAAATATAAGACAGGGTCTTATTTTCCGGAAAACACGGTAGTAAACCAGGACCCTAGCAAGGATTGTGGATGATATGAATGGGTTAGTTGGGCTTTGACTTACCATCTCAAGGGAACGCAGTAATTGTGGTTCATACAATATTTCTGGGTAGACAAGGTGCTAAGCTGCATATGCCACAGAAACCCACAAAGTATAAACCAGTGGTTAAGATAAACTTATTTCCCATTGTCAAGTCACAAGCATCTTACCCCAAATGTGTCTTCCTCTGGCTTATGTGTCACTGTGATGAGAGGGGAGGGACTTGGACTGTACTCATCTGAAACCAAAGGAACAAAAGAAGAAAAAAGTTCATTTCACAGTTCAGAGAAACATGTACATACAGAGTGAATATTATATTTCACAAGTGTATGTATATATGATTCACTCTTAGAAAAATCCCTGTTCCTTCCTTCCTATACCTACCCCATTGTGGTAGTACCAGGGGTGAAATCCAGCAAGTTCTAACAGGTTCTGGAGAACCAGTAGCAGAAATTTTGAGTAGTTTAGAGAACCGGCAAATACCACCTCTGGTTGGCCCCAGAGTGGGGTAGGAATGGAGATTTTGCAGTATCCTTCCCCTGGAGTGGGGAGGGAATGGGGATTTTGCAGGATCCTTCCCCTGCCACGCCCACCAAGCCACGCCCACAGAACTGGTAGGGAAAAATTTTGGATTTCACCCCAGGGTAGTACCCCAATATTGTCTTATAAAGTTATTTCCTTCCCACATCCAGTTGAAGCATCCTGTACTTTTGGATAGAACTTTGTTTTTTTTTTTTTTTTTCCCCTCCCCCCCCCCCCGCTCACTACTCCAAGTTGTATTAATGACTATTCTACTCAGGAAGCTTTTTAAAACAGTCTCTTTATTTCCAGGTTGATGCTGTTATTTGGACATTCCTACCTCTCTGCTGTCACTTTTATCTCAATTAATTGTTCTGCTGATGTTCCTAAATTAGCAACCTCTGCTAACCGTTGGTGAAAAAAAACACAGGGGACTATAAATCAACATCATTTCAGAGTAACACCCTAACATAGGCATCCAAATGCTGACAAACAATTTAAAAACAAAACAAAAAAGTGAAGGGATGCAGAGTTAGACTTGGAAGGACATGACCAAGTTGAGCTTGTCTTGGGTGGTATACTAGGTTGGGTCATTTAGATCCCAACTCTTGAACTGATGGCCACCTCCATGTTTCATAAAAATTCTAAATTTCAGTTGTCCGTCCCTGGGAAAAGGTTTTTTCTCTCTCTCTCCTGTATCGCAGAAAATCCCAATCTTTATTTGCATGAAAGAAGAAAGGAAGCCATCTCTCTTTTCCCACCCCTTATTTTTTAAAAAAAAATCAGTAACCTTAATCTGATGACAATTTACACTTGTTTGTCAAAAGGTACATATTCACTTTTCAGGGGCTGTCATGTTTTCTTCTGAAATGATATACAGTAGCTAATCTGTGAAACAGATCAGCAAAATATCACAGTACGGAGTGTTCCTAGACAGGTGAACGGGTGGCTGTGCCTTTTTCTTAATATTCTGATCCCTTCGTTCATCTAGCTTTCCCTTTCATGATCCATGAGAAAATGTACAATCTTCACAGGGCTCTTTATGAATTCTCCCCTCACTGCCCACATTTCTTTCATTTTTACTTCCATTAAATCCCAGGAAAGGCTCGTGCTGTTTTAGCTATAAGGTAAAGGTTCCCCTCGCACATATGTGCTAGTCATTCCCGACTCTAGGGGGCAGTGCTCATCTCCGTTTCAAAGCCGAAGAGCCAGTGCTGTCCAAAGGCGACTCCGTGGTCATGTGGCTGGCATGACTAAACGCCAAAGGTGCACGGAACACTGTTACCTTCCCACCAAAGGTGGTCCCTATTTTTCTACTTGCATTTTTTTTTACGTGCTTTCGAACTGCTACGTTGGCAGAAGTTGGGACAAATAATGGGAGCTCACCCCGTTAGGCGGCACTAGGGATTCGAACCGCTGAACTGCCAACCTTTTGATCGACAAGCTCAGTGTCTTAGCCACTGAGCCACTGCATCCCTTTTTAGCTATATAAGCACTCATAACCTAAGTTAGGAGTTTTCCCTTAGCAAATTAGAAAATACTAATGATCTGCAGAAAAATTCAATTGGATGAAAGGAAATGTGCTTTAAATCCTTTTTTTCCCCCAAAGCAATACAGAATGTCACTGAAATTCTTAAGAGTGAAGTGTGGCACTCTTGGTTTTTTTTTTTTTTTGTTTTTTTTTTGTGATGAAGTGGTTTTTAATGGTTCAACCTCCATGAATTCCAAATATTTGTTTTCTCATCTTCGTGCCCTCCAATTCATTTAGACTTTATTATGTGAGTTGGTTTAACACCTGGCAGATTCAAGATTAAGGCTATTATTCCATCACTCTGAAATTAAAAATGTTATCCATAAGAGCCAAATCAAAATTTTAAATTAAAATATCACCCCCACATGCTATGGTTTGGTTAGTTCTGGCTTTGCCTTAATTCAGCCATTATGGTTAGTTTACAACTTATTATGCAATGCAGAACCAACACATCGTGATTTGTTCAACAAGCTGCAGGTAAGCAAAGCAACTCCAGCCAGAGTTTTGTGAAGGCACACAATGCATGCATAGGGTTGTGTCACTTCATTCCACTTCGCTCCAAATCGAATTCATTCCCCAATGCGAGTCAAATCACTCTTGGAAGGGATGCAACACCAAAGTCCCAAAAGTTAGCGATGAGCAATCATTTCTCTTTGATCTACAATATGTTAACTCTGGATTGTCTATCAAAACATTGTTAAGGGTATAAAGGTAACAAGTTTGGCTAAAACTAATTATAGCTAACATGTGAGTTGTATGAATCAAGATCACATGAAGTATTAATACCACTTTATAATGCCTTAGTAAGGTCACACTTGGAATACTGCATCCAGTTTTGGTCGTCACAATGTAAAAAAGGTGTGGGGACTATAGAAAAAGTGCAGAGAAGAACAGCAAAGATGATTAGGGGACTGGAGGCTAAAACATATGAAGAACGGTTGCAGGAACTGGGTATGTCTAGTTTAATGAAAAGAAGGACTAGGGGAGACAGGATAGCAGTCTTCCAATATCTCAGGGGTTGCCACAAAGAAGAGGGAGTCAAGCTATTCTCCAAAGCACCTGAGAGTAGGACAAGAAGCAATGAGTGGAAACTAACCAAGGAGAGAAGCAACCTGGAACTACGGAGAAATTTCCTGACAGTTAGAACAATTAATCAGTGGAACAACTTGCCTCCAGAAGTTGTAAATGCTCCAACACTGGAAGTTTTTAAGAAGATGTTGGATAACCATTTGTCTGAAGTGGTGTAGGGTTTCCTGCCTAAGCAGGGAGTTGGACTAGAAGATCTCCAAGGTCCCTTCCAACTCTATTACTCTATTTCTATTCTAACATACAACATTAGTATAGGTCTGATTATCAAGTTAAAGGAAGCAGTTATTTCAATCCGGTCCGGACCTCTCAATGCTTTGATTGGACACCCTAAAAGCTCTGTGTATTGAAGCACTTTGCCAAGGGAGGTGTCCACACAACTCACATGTTAGCTATATTTAGTTTTAGCCAAACATGCTACCTTTATACCCTTAACAATGTTTTGATAAGCAATCTAGAGCCACTGAGAAACGGGTGACATATAATGTTCATAAAATTATTATGCTCAGGTTTTTCCTGATTTCTCCCAGGGATGACATCCTGCCCTTTGAAACCTGCCTAAAGTTTGTTCTTACTGTTCTAATAAAACAAAAATCCTTGGTGAAAGGTCTGAGTGATACAGAGGAATTTGTAGTCTGATCAAACAGGCAAGGAAAAACTTACATGTGACAAAGATATCTGAAATGCCTGTAAAAAACAAAAAAAGGGGTAAAGACAAAGGGGGGAGAGAGAGAGAAATAAAATGGTTATCACCATCATTGGAGAACAATTGTGATGCTATCAGTAAACAGTAAGCCACTGACTGAATTCTCTGATTTAAAAGAATGTCCACGTATGTTTTGAAATGGGGTATATGAAGGCATATGAAGGAGGGTTTTTTTGGGAGGGGGCAGTAGTGGGATTCAGCTAGTTCTCACCACTTCGGGAGAACCGGTTGTTAACTTTCTGAGCAGTTTGGCAAAGAACCGGTTGTTAAATTACTTGAATCCCACCACTGGGAGGGGGGGAGTAGCCACGTGCCCTAATTTACAGAGGACATTATTAACAACATTCCTCTCTATATTTTTTAGAAGGCTGTTTTAGAAGGCTGACTGCTTTAAATCTGATTTTTTTTTAAAAAAAATGATGGGAGTTAAAGGGCCCAATTTAGCTATCAATTCTTGGTATTTAATAATCAGGCAGTCTTTCCCCATTACAGGGCGGTGAACTAAAATCGTATTGAAATTATATTAGCTGTGCTAAAATCTACTATATGCAAGAGTCATCCCCTTTAATTACCATGTTGGCAATACAGTCCTCTTTTCAGAAGTGGTATGTAAGTAGCTACTTATTCAAAGTATTTTGTGCTAGTTTAGATTGCAGAGTGGAATTTGGGGTAGGTATTTGGTCTTCCAAACCGGAAATGTATTCAAATCTCTGCTCATCCACAGAGCTTAATATAAAGAGTGTTCAACCTTGGCAACTTTAAGACCTGTGGACTTTAACTCCCAGAATTCCCCAGCCAATATGGGGAAATGGTTTCAAAACGACACTTGCTATTCGTATGAACTGGACCTTAGCCAGAAGATTATCTGCCGAGAAATTCCAAATGCATTTTTCTCTCTCCTTTAACAACTTCTTCAAGCATAAGATTTAATGGGCTCTATAGATCATTGATAGAGAAAGTTCCATGAAAACAAAACATAAATAATAAATCAGGATATCACTGGCATTGTGCTTTCCCTATATTACAAAATGTCAACTTTCATCGTGGGAGGTAACTAATAGGTGCTCTACATTCTTATGACAGCAGGCCAGATGGTAACATGCATGTCTAAATGCCTGAAAAAAAATCAACTCTATAAGGACTTTCTTAAGATCAAAAGAGGAAGGCATTACACAAACCCTGTTATTTCAATTAGCCTGCAGACACATAGCATCATTTGTTGAAAAGAGAAAAAAAAGTATTAATTGTGGACCCTTAGCGGTGTGCTTATAGATAAAGAAACTATTTTTGCAGTTATTCCTTTATAGAGCAGAATTACAAAATAACAAAGTTGGAAGGGACCTTGGAGGTCTTCTTGTCCAACCGGAGACCGCTCTGGACAAATGACTATCCAGTCTCTTCTTGAAAACTCCCAGTGATGGAACACTGATAATTTCTGGAGGCAAGCTGTTCCACTGATTAATTGTTCTCACTGTCAGAAAATTTCTCCCTTCTTCTAGGTTGGATCAACTGTTTGAAAAGTTTCCATCCATTCCTTCTTGTCCTGCCCTTTATGGACATCTGGGCAAAAGATTGCTTGGTGTGGCATCCGACTTTCAACAATAGTCAGCCAGATCATCTCCAAAAAGGTGGCTTACTGGTAACTTTCCCCATTTATGTATCCCCCAGGATCCACTGCTCAAAGGTATTATTCTTATGAACACGGGAGTTCCATTTAGTTACTGCATCAAGTACGGTAGCTCTAATAGGTTTGCCTTCCATTCATTTCCAAAACCCCTTTGAAAGGTCATCTACAAGGAGACCCTTCTTCTCAGGTTACGCTGATGAATTCTATCAGTTAATCAAGTGTATGTGGCGTTTCATTTTGGAAATTCAACTTTAATGTGATCCAATCAAACTCTTAATCAACTTTCTGAATCAAAGCAATGATTCAGTTAAAATTGTCAGATCAAATCAGATACCCTGGATGTCTTTTGCACACGTACTTTATTAGCATCTGAAGGGGCTGAGTTGAAACCAGAATTGATCCAAGTAGTTTAAGTTTTCATTTTGGGGCAGGAAGATAGATTTAGATCTGGGATATGCTGTTTACACTAGTTTTCCAAGTGGGGGGCTCTTCTCCAAAAAGGTTTGGAAACCAAGAACTGCTTGAAACCCTAACCGCAACTGACTCATATGTTAGTGAGGTTTGTTAGGAAAAGAAGGACCGGAGGGAGCATCATCACCATTCAAGCCAAGAGGAATTTCTCTTTTCATCTACTTGGAAAAAAGCTGAGAAAATCTTCCTCAACAACAGAAACACTACAGTAAATTATTTACTACAAATTGCACCAAAGGCAAAATTAAATTAAATTAAATTATTCACATTGTATTGTTCCACTTCGGTTCTTGTCCTAATGTTAGTTATTTATTCATTCATTAAATCTACTTCCCACCTTTCCTCCAGGTGCTGAATTTAATTTTCGTAGCAACCATCGTTCAGAGAGGTGGGCTAAGCTGAGTGACAATAACTGGCCTGGGATCAACACTCAGTCACTGGGCTGAGTCCTTGTCTTTAGAAAAAATAAATTCCATTCTATAGAGAAGAAAGTGAGGTAGCCTCACATTACGCGCAAACGAACTTTATTATGTACTGCAAAGAAATTAGATGTGCACTTAAGAGTTATGTCAGTCCTGGAAGCCATCTTTTACTTTGGATCTTCAGGGCTGCCACATTGGGAAACTGGGAGGGGGGATTGTATGGAGTTGAGGAGATATCTAGCCATAACAACATTCTTTTCTTTGAGAGTCAAGGACATCCTGCCCTGCACCTGGAGTGGCGTGACTCGGAGGCATCTCCAGTTGGGAAGGTACATTGTTTAGACCATGTGATGGACATGTGGGTGCAGGGGGAAAGGGACTTGGATTTTCTTTTGGGTGGGGAAAACCTGGAAGCTTTCAGATTTGGATTGTCCCAGATGTGCCAATATGACAGCTCTAATAAAATGGAACTTTGAGGAACATCTAGCCTCGGAGTCTTCTTTCGTTGGGGGTGTTACTTGGAACGCTGACAATTTACACAGTACAAATAGAATACATTTAAAAAAAAAAAACCAAGTGGAGCAGCACAATATGAATATTGCATAATGCCTAATTGGATCCTCATATTCCTTTATTTTTTGCATTTGTATGACTCAACCAAAATAAGCACTCACCCCCTTTAATTCTCAGCATTACCCTTGGAATGAAGGAGAGAGCCTATCCCCAAATCAATTCATTTGTTAGAAACATACCCCGACCTTCAACAAGAGCTCAGACTGATGTGCATTACAATCTGTCCATATGTTTATCCATATGTTTTTTTAAAAAAAATAATATCTGGGATGGGATGGGTTGGGCCGAGAGACAATGATGATCCAAAGTCCTCAGCTGAACTTCAATGACTGAGGCTGAACCTTGGTTTCCCCATTAACCATGATGACTTTGGAATATACAGATGTCATCATTTTAAAAAAATGCATTTTTAAAGAAGTGCACATGGACCCCTCTTTTATATATATATTTTAAAAAGCTACAAAAAAAGCTTGCCCTCCCCTTGCTATAAACTGTCAATCTCTCACTTGGAAATGGTTTCTCCAGAAAATGTCCTCGGACAGTCTGGTTGGCTGTTCCCAAGGAGTTGGTAGCCACGATGGTGTAGTTGCCATTGTTGTAATGAGTGGGATGGTTGAAGAGCAAACAGCCATCTGTGATGTCCCCACCCTGGTAGACGTCCATGCGGATGAAGGCGGTTTGCCTAAGAAACTGGCCGTTGTACAGCCATGAATTTGGGGTGGAGGGTTCCCATGCACTGAAAACTCGATACAGTGTTCCATATGCCGAATCGGTTCCAGGAGGCTGAGGATACGGGGAGGAGCTAAAAGAGTGGAAGAGAGAGGCAAACAAACTTTAATGGTCATCCACAAAACATTAGAGGGGGCGGGAAATCACAGATGGACCATGCTTTCTCTAAACTCTGTTGGAAGCCCAACTGGATTCAACTTTCAAAAACTCAAACATTCTATTTGTATTTTAAGATCATGTAAAGTCTCATCTGCCATATATTATAATATACATTTTTTTCTAACGAGGGAGAGAGGGAGGGGAGGAGGAAGGAAGGAAGGAAGGTAGGAAGGAAGGAAGGAGAGATGGAAGGAAGGAGAGAAGGAAGGAAGGAGAGGACGGAAGGAAGGAAGGAAGGAAGGAGAGAAGGAAGGAAGGAGAGAAGGAAGGAAGGAAGGAAGGAAGGAAGGAAGGAGAGAAGGAAGGAAGGAGAGAAGGAAGGAAGGAAGAGTGAAGGAAGGAGAGAAGGAAGAAGGAAGGAAGGAAGGAAGGAAGGAAGGAAGGAAGGAAGGAAGGAAGGAAGGAAGGAAAGAAGGGCATATGGAGCACAAAGTTAGGGATGCTTTGAATTTAAATTTCCCTGAATGGCAAACAGTTCAGCTTCTGATAATATAGGCTTGGAAACCTATGGTCTACATATGTTATGAAACCGTGCTTGATTTTTTTATTATGAAAAATGCAACAGAAAATGAAGAAAATAAACCAGGAGTCAATGACTTCAAACTCTTTAAAGTATAGCATGATGCTATACTCCAAGGGTGGGCAAGCCATGGCCTAAATGTTACATATATTCCTCCAGGGTTGGGCTACCAAAATTAAGTGGCAAAGTGACAGAGATTCCCCCACCACTCTTTTGCAGGATTTATACAGAAATAAGGGAAAATTGCATTTTAAAATCATGGGGAAATTGCCAACACTCTCCTGTTGTTAGAAGAACTTGCAACCTATGTAAATGTAAACAGTGTAGATGTAAATAAACCATGGCCTGGTCACAACAAGGAAGCCCATCCCTGAAATATTTCAGTTGAGCTTGGTGTATGCAGCCAAGGGTGTATATGTAATGCAGCTTTAAATTATTTCATAGGACTATCAATATTGTGACCCATTCAGATCCTTCTCAATATTTCATTTAGCAATAGCTGTAGCACTTAGACTTATATACTGCTTCACAGTGCTTTAAAGCCCTCTTTAAACGGTTTGCAGAGTCAGCATATGGCCCCCAACAATCTGGGTTCTCATTTTACTGACCTCGGAAGGATGGAAGGCTGGTCAACCTTGAGCCTGGTGAGATTCGAACTGCCAAATTGGAGGCAGCCGGCAGAAGTAGCCTGTAGTACTGCATTCTAACCACTGTGCCACTATGGCTCTATTCATTTATCTATTGCTTTCTTGCTACACAGGGGTAGGAATCTACATTTATACTACAGCGTATAAAAAGAGGCCGTACAGGACTCCAAGGGCATTTTATAGAGATAAGCCATTTTCTGCCACTCACATGACCCAGAAGGGCAAGTAAGTACATGCATATTAGCATGGATTTGCGAGGATATGACTCATCTTGTTCAAATGTCAGAGCATTCGTTCAGCAGAATATAAGTCTCTTCACTGTCAAATTCTCAGACTGAAAGCCACAGTGGACTAGTTAACATGCTGCAAGAGAAGCTTCAAGAAGGAAAAGTGAAGCCGCTTGTGCATTCGAAGTCTACTGGCAACTTAATGCATCTTTTTAAATTTTTACTTGCTGCCAAAATCAGCAGGCCATTCCTATTAGAAGTGAGCAAAGCTTTTTTCAGTCTGACAGCTGCCTTGGGAATTTCATTAATATGCCGAGTGAAGTTCTATTGGGTCTATGTTGGGATAAAAATCTGAGGTCATCCAGATGTTTCTTAAACTACAACTCTCAGAAGTCCCAGGTGGAAGTATCCTTAGTGTTTGGTTGACTGCTGATGCTGGGAATTGTAGCTCCACAACATCCAAGGGCCACCATACTCTATGTCCGTGATGGCGAATCTATGTCATGCGTGCCACAGATGGCACACAGAGCCATATCTGTGGGCACGCAAGCATTGCCCTAGCTCAGCTCCAGTGCACATGCAAGTGCTGGCCAGTTGATTTTCGGGCCTTCCGGGCCCACTGGAAGTCAGGAAATGGGCCATTTCCAGCCTCCAGAGGGCCTCCGGGGGGATGGGGAAGGCTGTTTTCGTCCTCCCCAGGCTCCAAGAAAGCCTCTGGAGCCTGGGGAAGGTGAAAAATGGGCCTACCGAGCCCACCGGTAATCTTTTTGCCATCACATGCGAAAAGCAGGGGGCACTCGGGAGGGGGGAGTATGCACATGCACAGGGGGGCGGGCATGGGGGCATTGAATTATGGATGTGGTCACGCATGTGCACGACCCTCCCACGCGCTACCCCTGCTTTTGGCACGCGACAGCAAAAAGGTTAGCCATCATTTCTCTATGGTGTCAGCCGAAAGAAGCATTGGTCATAGTCAATACCAGGGGTGAAATCTAAAATTTGTTACTACTGCTTCTGTGGCGTGGCTTGGTGGGGGGGGGTAATGTGACTGGGTAGGTGTGGCCAACTTTTTTTTTTTTTACTTTTAAAAGCATTTTATCTACAACCTTAAGAGGTTGCAGAAAAAAATGCTTTTAGAAGCCTCTGACGATCAGGCAACTCAGCTGGGATCGCCAGAGGCTTTTAAAGGCTTTTTTTTTCCTACAACCTCTTCGGCCGAAGAGGTTGTAGAAAAAATGCTTTTAAAAGTAAAAAAAACCAGCCTCTGATGATCGCGTGGTTCAGCTGCACATGGGGGGGGGAGCAGGGATTTTTGCTACAGGTTCTCCGAACCACCCGCCGCCATCGCTACCGGATCAGGCGATCTGGTTCGAACCGGGAGGATTTCACCCCTGGTCGATACTAATATTACTCTTCCATTTTTCATCCTAATAGATCCTGGGTGGGGGGGGAGAATCTCAACCTACTTGCAAGAAATATCCCAGGTCTCATTACGAAATTCCATGTTATATATTTTTCTTCCCAAGGAAAATTTCTCCAGCTAAGTTCTTACTCTGGAAAAGTGCCCCAAAACCTCCCATAATTGGATTTCCCATCTTTCAACCCACCTCTTAGGTTCCCCGCATTGACTTACAGTATACAGTGAGAAGTACGCTGGCATTAGACATTCCTACCACATTCTCAGCTATGCACGTAAGCAGGAACCCATTGTCTTCGCTGGTTACATTCACCAGGGTTAAATTGATGGAATGGACATTGGTCCAGTTGGCATTTGTCTGAAAATCACCACCAGAAAGTTAGTTTTTTTTGTTTGTTGTTTTTTTTGAAAAGTTTTTCAGCTTTATTTCTTATACACATAATAGAAAATGTACATTTTTTATACATAATTAATCCTACATATACATGTTTTCCTTAAAGAAAGCTTTAAAATAAGGCATTTTAATTACATTCGGAGTTGCTCTTCTACCCTTTCTTCCCTCATTTCACAACAACCCTTCTTCTTCTCCTCCTCTTTTCCTTCACTCTCCTCCTCTCCTCTCCTCCTTTCCCTTCCCTCCTCTCCTACCTCATCCTACTTCCCCTTCCTTTCCCCCACTCCTCTCTTCTTTTCCCACTACTCACCTTCTCTCCTACTCCTATCCCCTACCCTTCCTTCCTCTCCTTTTCCCTTTCTCCCATTCCTCTCCCTCCCTCTCCTCTTCCTACCCTCTCCTCCTCTCTCTCTCTTTCTATCTTCTTTGCTGTGGGATATTCTCCTTGTTTGGTATCAGAACATCTCCTGTATTCTAATAGTATATACTTTCTTTCCATTTCTTTTCAGATTTATTCTATCAGTATTATCATCATAATTGTACACTTATTCTTATTATCTTCTTTCACCAGAAAGATAGTTAACGTAAAATAATAATAATAATAATAATAATAATAATAATAATAATAATAATAAAAAACAACGGATCCCACATCCACTGAATGTCCCAGAATAGCCTTGCCCAAACAGATGAGATTCAACTTACAATAGTTTGTTTAGTGACCATTCAAAGTTACAATGGCACTGGAAAAAGTGACTTATGGCCGTTTTTCCACACTTATGACCTTTGCAGCATCCCCCACGGTCACCTGATCAAAATTCAAGACAACTTGGCAATGGCTCATATTTGTGACGGTTGCAGTTCCTTTGCCTGTCAGAAGCAACCTTCTGACAGGCAAAGTCAATGGGGAAGCCAGGTTCACTTAACAACCAAGAGCTGCAGTATTCACTTAACAGCTGTGGCAAGAAAAGTCATTAAATGGGGCAAAACTCACTTAACAAATGTCTCACTTAGCAACAGAAATGTTGGGCTCAATTGCCATATATATTCCATATATCTGAAGAGCTGGAGGACACTGCCTTAAAGCGCAACATTAAACTTTTTATATACACCCAAAGCTGCCTGAAAATAAATGATGAAAGAAAGAAAAATCTGCTACATGATCAACCAGATAGGCAGAGTTATTGTTTGAAACTCTTTTTTGGGGGAAAAAAAGCAAGGGAGCTTCGCTATTAAGCAAAAGATCAAGAACATGGGGGCATAACCTCAAACTGACAGGAGGGAAAGTTCAAGAGTCATGTTAGAAAGTATCACTTCACAGAAAGAGTAGGTGGAAGCTTGGAACCAACTTCCAGAGGAGATATGGGTCAAAACATCAGTAACTGAATTTAAACATGCGTGGATCAAACACATGTCCATCTTCCAACAAAAATGATAAAAAAAAATAACAGGAAGGGGAGGAAGGAAGGAAGGAAAGATGGGAGGGAGGGAGGGTATCAAGGGGAAGAGGGAAGGGCAGGAAGGGAGGGAGGGAGGGAGGGAGAAGGAAGGAAGGAAGGAAGGAAGGAAGGAAGGAAGGAAGGAAGGAAGGAAGGAAGGAAGGACGGGAGGGAGGGTATCAAGGGGAAGAGGGAAGGGCAGAGAGGGAGGGAGGGGGAAAGAAGGAAGGAAGGAAGGGAGGGAGGGAGGAGGTTATCAAGGGGAAGAAGGAAGGGCAGGAAGGGAGGGGGAAGGAAGGAAGGAAGGAAAAATGGGAGGGAGGTTATCAAGGGAAGAAGGAAGGGCAGGAAGGGAGGGGGAAGGAAGAAGGAAGGAAAAATGGGAGGGATGGTATCAAGGGGAAGAGGGAAGGGCAAAGAGGAGGGAGGAAGGAAAGAGGGAGGGAGGGTATCAGGCGAAGAGGGAAGGGCAGGGAGGAGAAGGAAGGAAGAAGGAAAGATGGGAGGGAGGGAGGTATCAGGGAAGAGGGAAGGGCAGGAAGGGAGGAGGGAGGGAGGGAAGGAAAGGAGGGAGGAAAAGAAGGAAAAGGGAGGAGGGATCAGGGGAGGAGGGAAGGAAGAGGAGGGAAAGAAGGAAGGAAGGAAGAAGGGAGGGAGGGATCAAGGGAGAGGGAAGGAGGGGGGGGAGGGGGAAAGAAAGGAAGAAGGAAAAGAAGGGAGGGAGGGGGGGGGGGGGGGGGGGGAGGTTAGGGGGGGGAAGAAGGAAGGGCAGGAAGGGAGGGGGAAGGAAGGAAGGAAGGAAAAATGGGAGGGATGGTATCAAGGGGAAGAGGGAAGGGCAAAGAGGGAGGGAGGAAGGAAAGATGGGAGGGAGGGTATCAGGCGAAGAGGGAAGGGCAGGGAGGGAGGGAGGGTATCAAGGGGAAGAGGGAAGGGCAGGGAGGGAGGAAGGAAGGAAGGAAAGGAGGGAGGAAGGGAGGGAGGAAGGAAGGGAGGAAGGGAGGGAGGAAGGGAGGGAGGACGAACAAATCAACTCAAAGGGCAGACTTGAAGGTCTACTAGGTCTTTTTCTGCTGTCAGTTCTTCATGTATCTAGGAGGCCTTAAACTTCAGTTCCTTACCTGATGCGTGTTGATGGAGTGCAGGTTGACCACAATCCAGTCAACATCTGGCAAAGGAGAACCGGACCCGTTGCACGTGATAACAGCATTTTCGCCTTCGCAGACGGTCAGATTCACGTGGCTGACACTGATTTCAGGCAAATCTGGAGGGAGCCAGCCAACATCAACATGATTATGTCCAGCGATGTTTAACCCAAGCAGATCAACAATAAATTACCAGCTTCGTTTTTTGTTTTTTTTCCCCCTAAACTGGGTTTTCAACCTAATCTGACTCAGAACGTTGTAAATTGTAAAGCCTGGAGAGACTTAAAAGTATTTTGGACTGCCCGTATTTCTACAGCATCAACATGTCTCAGGGAGAAAATTTATTTTTGTGCTACCCTTGTACTGGAAATCTTTGTTTATGTAAGAGATGCTGGACATATTGCAATACACAATGTCCGCATGTACAATTAACTGCAGCAGGATTGCCTTCCTTCTTAACCACTGGACAGGAGTGGCAGTGAATGCTATTTAATTCTTTTTTTTTTTTCTGACTCCTCTATAAAGAAAAATGTACATCTGGAGTTCATCCAGACACATTCAATCCAAAAATTGAGATAAAACCTTTTATATATATATATATATAAGGATTAATAAGAGTCAGAAGCTGATGGTTAGAAGAAGGATACAGAACGTTCCACATATAAAAATAACAGCCATCTTGGCTATGATAAACATTGTTTAAAAATCCATAGATACAAACCTGGTGTAGTTGTTGGCCAAATGAAGCATTCCTTATTCGTCTTTAAGGTACTTTGTTATTATCCCACTTTGTTGGGAAATATATATATATATATATATATATACACACACACACACACACACACACACACACACACACACTATATATTCAATATAAATAAAGGAATCATTATTTACTAAAGCAAATTGACTAGGCGGGTCTTCTGGGAACTATTACAAAGTGTGCAAGTTTTTCAAATTACCAGTAATTCTTCATCAGGCAAAATAATTAGAGGCCAGGAAAAAAGAAAAGAGAGAGAGAGAGGGACGGAGGGAGGGAGGGAGAAGCAACAGCAAAACATGTGGCTGATTTTAAAATCACATCTGTCCTAGATTAAATTCTTGATACAGTGAATGTCAGATTGAATTTTCTTGGGGACTGTGTAATGGTGGGTTGCTTTTTCCTAAAGCTTTCTGGAAAAGACAGACAAGTTGATTTCTGCAAATTCTCCATTTGGGGAAATATGCGTTCCACCCGGTTCTGTGGGCGTGGCTTGGTGGTGGTGGGAATAATGTGACTGGGTGGGCGTGGCCAACTTTTTTTTTTACTTTTTTTTTTATCGTCAGAACCTTTTTTTTCTTTTAAAAGCAAAAAAAATGCTTTTAAAAGAAAACAAAAGCCTCTGACAATCAGGCAACTCAACTGGGATCGACAGAGCCTTTTAAAAGCATTTTTTCTACAACCTCTTCAGCCGAAGAGGTTGTAAAAAAAATGCTTTTAAAAGGCTCTGACAATCCCAGCTGAGCCGCGCGATCAAAGAGGTTTTAGAAAAAATGCTTTTAAAAGTAAAAAAAAAAAACCCTCTAATGTTGGGGGGGCCCGGCGGGGATGGGGGGGGGGCAGGGATTTTTGCTACCGGTTCTCCGAACCATCCGCCACCATCGCTACCGGATTGGGAGATCCGGTCCGAACCGGGAGCATTTCACCCCTGGTTCCACCTGTTAAACACTATTGCAACTCTTTGTAAAGTGCATAGATTCCATAGTTTGCAGCTAGTCCTCGGCTTATAACCACGCATTGAGTGACCGTTACAGCCCTGAAAAAGTGATTTATGACCATTTTTCACACTTACAACTGTTGCAGCATCCCTGCAGGTCACGTGATCAAAATTCAGATACTTGGCAACTGGCATGTATTTGTGACGGTTGCAGTGTCCCAGGGTCATGTGATCCCTTTGGCGACTTTCTCACAAGCACAGTCAATGGAGAAGCCAGATTCACTTCACAAAAGTGCTACAATTCCAGTGGTTTACTTAACAACTATGTCAGGGTTCCAAGTAACACCCCCAATGAAAGAAAACTCCGAAGCTTGAGTTTCCTCTAAGTTCCACTTTATTAGAGATGTCATATTGGCACATCTGGGAAAACCCAAATCTGAAAGTTTCCAGGGCAAGAAGTCCTCGACTCTCTGAGAAAGGAATGTTATTATCACCCTGACTCCACACAGTCCCCTCCCAGTTACCCACAGTAGTAAATGTGGCAAGCCTGAAGATCCAATGAAAAAGATGGCTTCCAGGCCTGACAAACTGTCTTGTTTAGCAACAGATGCTTTGGACTCAATTGTGGTCATAAGTCAAGGACTATCGTGTTTCCCCGAAAATAAGACCCAAAAGAAAGTCCAAGTCCCTTCCCCCTGCACCCACATGTCCATCACATGGTCCAATCCAAGCACCATCCCAACTGGAGATGTTCCAGCCCTCCAGGTGCAGGTCAAGATGTCCTTGACTCTCTGAGAAAGGAATGTTATTATGACTATATATCACCCTGACTCCATACAATCCCCCCTCCCAGTTTCCCACCGTAATAAATGTGGCAAGCCTGACAATCCAATGAAAAAGATGGCTTCCAAGCCTGACAAACTGTCTTGTTTTGGGCTCAATTGTAGTCATAAGTCAAGGACTACCGTGTTTCCCCGAAAATAAGACTCTGTCTTATATTTTTTTGAACCCCAAAATAAGAGCTTGGCCTTATTTTGGGGGAGGTCTTATTATTTTGGGGTGCGTGGAGCAAGATGGGACTCCTCTTGCTGTCTTACCTGATTTCCAGCTCTGCATTTAAATATTTTCAGGGAGGGCTTATTTTCGGGGGGAGGCTTATTTTAGTGCATGCGCTCAAAAGCCCGACTGGACTTATTATCAGGGGATGTCTTATTTTCGGGGAAACATGTATATGGCCAAAGCCAAACACCACAGCTTCTTCACCCCATTCTTTAGAAGCTGTTCCCCTAGGCAGTTTTGCTTTGAAGAGATGTTTTATTACCAACTGAAGCAGTGGTGAAATTCATTTTTTTTACTACTGGTTCTGTGGGCGTGGCTTGGTGGGCGTGGTAGGGAAAGGATACTGCAAAATCTCCATTCCCTCCCCACTCCTGGGGGAAGGATATTGCAAAATGTCAATTCCCACCCCACTCTGGGGCCAGCCAGAGGTGGTATTTGCCAGTTCTCCGAACTACTCAAAATTTCCGCTACCAGTTCCCCAGAACCTGTCAGAACCTGCTGGATTTCACCCCTGAACTGAAGCTTCCTTTTGAAGCCCCACTCATTCCTAATAGACGGGCAGACACATACATACTGTACCTAGAGAAACCTCAACAATATATTTTAGAAAGAATGCAACCCATTCAGGAGGCCTGTTCCACTTTCTCTCCTGCATTTTTTACACACACGCACACACACACACACTCACACACATATCTCAATCAAGTTTCCATAGCAACTTGACATGCTCACTTCCCATTAAACTGATTTAGAATCATCTTTTTTCCTCCTTTTTCTGGTTTCCTTCCTAAATAATTGTTGTTTTTTCTTCTTTTTTGAAGTCTCCAGATCAACTGATACCTCTCCTCCTCTTCCAGGTGGGGTGATGCCATTTTGACTACCTAAATAGCATCTGTCACAGCTTGAGTACGAGAAGTAGAGAGAATAATTTAAGAACTGCCGAGTCCACCGTGTTCTCTGAGCTTGGTTATTTGCTTGCAGGATGTTTTATTACCTAACTAGCTGATAACTCGGCATTGCCCAGGTATTTATTTATCCCAATCCTATATTAGACAGGAAGAGCAACTTCACCCTGAGCCCTTATTTCGGTGAGAATTAGTTAAAAAAAAAAATTTCCTGTGCCCCCAGAAGTGTCAAGTAAAATGATACCACCTTGTTGTTTTGCTAGCTGATCCATGATCATTTGGTATACTTTTTTCTGATCTTGGTTTTATTGATCATGGGCATACATTTGTCCTTAAGAATAATCAAAGCCTTGTTGAAAATGTCCAGATCAAACATAATTTCTAATGTTGGATTTTCCCCCATACCAGAGGGCGCCCCCTCTGGTACTGTGGAGTACTGTAGAGTACTGTGAAGCTGTTACCATGGCAACTCCACTGTGCTGCACAATAGAACACAATTTAAGGCAGTACAGTAGAAGCCGTTTTAAGGCACAACAGGCTGTATCTTAACAGAACACACACCCCGAGGGGTGTTAGGGGTGTCTTACCCCCACAGTATTTCTTTCCAGAGAGTAAGTCATCTGTGTACCAAGTTTGGTTGAAATTGCTCGAAGCGTTCCAGAGTTATGCAGGAAGACACACACACACATTTTTATATATATAGACTAGGTAACATCATTAGTGACAGTCTAGCATCCATGGTGTTACTTAGCTAGATAATGAAACACATCCAAGAAATCACCAAGTTCAGAGAACTCCAGGGGCTCCAGAGTTCAAATCTGAGTTATAGAGATTATCTTCTATTGGAATTGTTTAGTAAACCAGCCTCCACTCAATCATGGAGACACAAGCTTGGCTGGAGAAAGTTAAGAATCTCTTTCCCGCTGGATTACTCACACAAGCAAGAAGAACTCCAGTTAGAGTGGAAGTATCTAAGTAAAGAGAGCTTGCCTTCCAGTTGTTTTGGAGAGAACTGTAGGGGCAGGCAGAGATGGAAATTTATTACCGTGCTTAGGAAATTAATCTTCATAAATCTACTCCCGGTTACAGCAGGTAATGTTTTCCCTGTTCACCTTTTGCTGCTTAAAAATATTCTAAACCCTGAAGATTACTCCTGTAGTGTGTTGAGGAATTTCCAGCTGTCTTACAATCCCCTGGAGTTTACAGCTATTTTAGTTGTCTTCCAGAATGCAGTTAAAAGTCATTGTGTGGTTGGCATGGAGTTGCATGACTATTTCCTAAGGGAGGGGTAGTGTTTATATCTGTATGATTTCTAGACATTTATTCTAGGATGGGAGAACCAGCTTTGAACTGCCCTTCTCAGCTATATGAATCCTTTTGCACATTTTAACTATTTCTCTCTGGTCTTGATGCAAAAGAAATTACATGACTTTGTGGGTTATTCTCAACAGAAGAAAGTATTGGTCAAGTTGTGATTGATGGATTGTATGATTGTTGCACCTACCTTAAGGAGCATAAGGTTTCTGGGAGTATTCTGTCTTTCACCCTACAACTCCCTCTCCAAGCTGTCTGCTATCACCCTGGTTACTCACGGGTAAATGAATGTGTGTTTTTTTTTTACTGGATGTGTTCAACAGAGGTTATATTTGAGATTATATTGATTTGGCTTCCTGCACTGAATAGAGTTGGATTCAGAGATCTTAAATGGCTCCTTCCAACTTAAAACATTTATGATTTTTTTCCCCAAAAAAACTATCTTCTTTGAAATAATATGTGAAAGCAAATTCTCATAAATCAAATTAAAGCTGTCTGGTGGAGATATTGTACTGGAATTCTGGTCAGCAATTATATAGCCAAATAGATGTGAGCGCGAACAAGTTTTTCTCTTAATGTAAATTGATACGGGAAGAAAAGAGGGTATCCCTGGAATTAAGATGCTTACATTGAAACAGTTTCCTTGGCAACAGAGGTCTCTTTACTAGCATCCCATATTTTCACGCTTAAGAATGGCTATCCTTGCAAACCATCCCTCTCAAATGGGGGCTGCTTTTGCTCCCCACCAAATCAAGACAAAACAAAACCAAACAAATGGAAATGCATATAATTTGACTTGAATCTAGGCAGATTTTTTCCCCCATATTTTGTTCTCTGTCTTCCATGGGCAACGTTGAGAATTAATCTGGTCCTATCAAAGCTACACTTACTTGGAACTTCATCATTGTCAAGGGTAACACGAAGGCTACTGAAATAATTTTCTCTTTTTAGGAGCTAAAAACTGCACTCAACAGCTCTCATGGGAAAGTCAAGGACTTAGCCTGAGTAGATGCTTTTACTGCTGATGCTAAACACTTTTAGTAACAAAGATCAGCTTCTACAGACTCTAGGAATGTAGCCATATGTATTGCTATGGGTTCAGAAGTTTAAATACTGAAATTCACAACCACAAATGTTATTATTATTCTACCATATCAACAAACTTTCTTTTATTCTACCATAAAACAAACACAGAGAAAAGAATAGAACATAGTCATAATAAATAACCACCCCTGCAGTCAACCCCAGTCTAGGGTAATCTATCCTTTTCAATATGGCCTTTCGTACAAAAATAGGAGTTTTGATAATTTTGTCACCTTTCCAACATAACAGACTCTAACCTGCTTTTCATGCTGGACTGTGGATGCCAGATGCCCTGAGTTTACATAATGACCTGTCAGGCACAAAGAATCAGGACCATGTTCTGAACTAAGTTGCACTTCAGAAGATTTATCGTTCAAGCCTGTACAGTACATAAGAATCCAGTCAACTAAAGTGCGAGATTAAATTAATCCCAGATTAGGGTCAATGGAATTCAATAAGGGTTGGATTTAGACCATTTGTGGGAACGTAGTGACTCTAGCCTGATGACTTGCTTGACTCCACCACCACCATTACCCCCCCAGCTCTGCCTGGTCTTCTCTTACATGATCCTTGTTTTCTCCCAGGATGCCTGTTTTCCTTATTGCTAGCTCCATCCTTCATTGTCACAGAAATGCATACATGTGCATCAATGGTGGGTTCCTCCCAGTTCCGCCCGGTTCCGCCAAGCCGGTAGCGGTGACGATATGACGTCACTGAACCGGTTCTGCTCCCCCCCCCGCTCCATTCCCCACCCCCCGCGTTATTCTTACCTTTTATTTAGCCCCACCCCCAATCTATTGCTGCCTCCTGAGTCCCAGCTGATGGCTAGAGGGAAAAAAACTGTTTAAACTCTTGCCCCGGGACTTCAAAGAGCTGCCCTATAGCTGATCAGTGTTAAAAGAAAACAAATGAGTAGATTGGTGCCTGCAAAAATAAATGGGTAGACCAGTGCCTGCAAAAATACATGAGTAGATCAGTACCTGCAAAAATAAATGGGTAGATCGGTACAGCTCTGCAAACAGTTAAAAGCCTGGTAGACCAGTACCTCTGCTAAATCCTAAAGAATTGTCACATGACCATCAAGCCACGCCCACAAAATAAGCCAGGCCCACAGAACCTGTAGTAAAAAAATTTAGAACCCACCCCTGATGTGTATGTCCTCAAGCATTTAGCATCTAATATCTATATCCTTCCATCTACTATCCAAAAGTACATAGTTCAGTCATAACTTTAATTAGTATTTTGCTTGGAGTCAGAAGTGTTACAACTTTCCTGGTTCTGATAAAAATCTATACAGGATTAATATTAATTAAAGAAAGAGAGACATGAGTGTCAGGTTGTAATTTGAACCTTTATAGGAAGGGAAGGAATCTTGATTGTAGCCTCAAGAATTTTATGGGTATCTTACTCAGTTCTGTTTTGCTTTTTGTTTGATGCATGAGTGTATCTGATGAGATGTATACGGTATTTTAATATTTGAAAAGTGTCTGGACATGGGTGGATCCATAGTGCATTCATTTCACTTTGGAAGCAAGACCAGGCAAAGTAGAATTCCAAGATCTGGGGACAAATCTGGATGGGAATAATTTTTAAGAGCATTTCTCCTTATGTATTATTCAAGTGCTACATGAAGACGTTTATCCAGAGGCACGTAATAGAAGCTAGTAGCCATGCATCTCATTGATGCTCTGGTTCTTATCTTTTCCATCTGTTCTTTTTTTAAAAAGAAAGGAAAAAACCCGCATGCAACTCTAGAATCCACAGAAGAGAGCCACAACGATGCAGCTGTTCAAAATCTCAGGAGGTTTCTAATAAATGACACAACAAGGTGATAAAACCAGAGATACACTGATGGGAGGACGAGAGAAAAGCTGCAACAGCTACGACAAAATAAAAGATAGCAACAGCGTGCATAGGCACATCAGTGCACACACGTGCAGGTTAGGCGGAAAGTTATCTCAGAAAATTTGAACTTGGAGAAGAAATTGATCTGAATTGTACTTCCTTAGAGAAATGTGCAGATCCAAATTCATGTATTAACCTGCTTTGAATGTGTCCAAATATCCCAGGGAAGTTCTTAGCTCAAAAATAAAAATAGTAAAAGCCATTTTAAAATCTGTATTTTAGAAATTCATATTTATGTGTGTGAGAGAGAAGATGGTATATGGTAGGTAGGTAGGTAGGTAGGTAGGTAGGTAGGTAGGTAGATAGATAGATAGATAGATAGATAGATAGATAGATAGATAGATAGATAATGGATCGATGTTGATGGATGGATAGATAGATGATGGATGGATGGATGGATCGACAGATAGATAGATGATGGATCGATGAATAGATGTGGATGGATGGATAGATAGATAGATGATGGATGGATCGACAGATATAGATAGATAGATAGATAGATAGATAGATAGATAGATAGATAGTTAGATAGATAGATAGATACGATAGATAGATACGATAGATAGATACGATAGATAGATAGACAGACAGACAGAAGACAGACAGATGGATGGACAGACATAGATATTAAATGGGCCCAACCAGGGGTGAATGTACATGAAATGAAAATGGATCAGAGATGCATACAGTGAATCAATTAAGAGATGTGGGGAAAACAAGTTCTCTAATTATCCTAGAGCAGATTTTTCTCCTGGTCTCTTGAAAAATTAATAATTCTCTATGCATCTCAATTTGTAATTCTTATTCACCGATGTATACCACTCAGTAGCAATAAGCAAGAAATAATAATAATAATAATCATTGCACCTCACTCTTGTTTGCCACTCTCCCCAGTTTTCCAGACATAATCAGGATTGTATGAGCCCCAGCAAGCTCATATGCTGCAGTATTTTTGGATTTCCAGGTACAGTCATTACAACTCTGTACACACCCACACACCCACACCAATATTCCTGAAATTGTGGCGTTTCTTTGAACATGCTGATCCTCGCTGCATTGGTAATGGTGCTATTTGGTCTACATAAGCAATGACTCAAAGCCTGAACATCAGAAGTAGAAGGAAGGATAACAATGCTCGAAGGTCAACAGGTGCCCAATTATATGCACTTCCTTACCGCACTGGTTGATATTCAGCTCCTGTATGGGTATGTGGCTGGTCTCCATGCTCGTGCAGTACAAGTCCTGGTTCTGCAAATTGGCTTCTTCTCTCTCCTGCCACAGCTGGATCCAACGGATATCACAGCTGCAGTTAAAAATATTGTTTTCCAACTTCCTGTGTAGAAAGAGAACATTGAGATTGTGAGAAAAGAGAAGCAAAAAAGAAGGCAAAACACTCAGACGACGAGATGGGCGAAAAGCAGAATTGTATCCCAGTTCCAGATATGATACGATGGTGATGATAATATAAAAATTTGATTCATTTAGCATCTACCTCCATGAGAGTAAACCTCACTGTATGACAGGTGTAGATAGGACATTGCTAAAATTCTCCATAGAGAATTTTAGAATTTTTCATTTGTGCGGTACAATAACCGAAGATCTTGGAAGTCTTCTAGTCCAACCTCCTGTGCAAACCAGAAACCCTATAACTGTAATGGCAAACCTATGGCACGCGTGCCACAGGTGGCACGCAGCGCCTCCTCTGTGGGCACGCAAGCCATCACCCCAGTTCAGCTCCGCCGCGCATGTACCTCCCACTGGCCAGCTGGACTTTGGGCACGGTGCATGCACAGGGCTGTGCACAAATGGCCTTTTGGGGGTTCTGGCACCCTTGCTTTGGGCACTCAGTCCGGAAAAGGTTAGCCATCACTGCCCTATAACATTTCAGACAAATGGTTGTCCTATCTCTTCTTAATCAACAATCATTCAGATTGTCAGGTGACTCAGCCTTCCATCCTTCCGAGGTAGGTAAAATGAGGACCCGGATTGTGGGGGCAATAAGCTGACTTTGTATAAAAAAGAACACTGCTTGGGGGGGCCGAAAGCCCTACTAAGCAGGTATATACAAAAGTATGAAGGCTATTGCTTAACGCATTGTAAGCCGCCCTGAGTCTCCGGAGAAAGGGCGGAATATAAATCGAACCAATAAATAAATAAATAAATAAATAAATAAATAAATAAATAAATAAATAATCTACTAAACTTTGGTTGATTAATCTATGGATTCTATGGAAAACTTCACAACCGTTTATTAGCTAAGTGTGCAGATAACAAAACAGGGAGGATCAGAAAAAGACCATCATTGCTGAATCATCATTGCTGAATTTAAGTCATAGCTTGTTTTTTTTTTCCCCTTTGAAATATGTATCTCCGGCTTCTTGTTCTAAACACCTTGACATTCATAAGGTCATGCAGGGATCATGAGTTTTCATTTAGCTTTTCTCCTCTTCTCCTTGCCCAGACATGCTCAATAAATTCAAGGCTCTCCCCATAATACCCCCTGTCTTAATGCATTGACTATGAGCTCCTGCTGCTCGGGGAGATGAGGCAACTTACAACCCATCATGCAATTTAATTGAATGAAGCAGCCAGCTTTATATACTGTTTGACCTCATTGACCCAGCTGGCAAGGCTGATGTTTTAATGTACTCTGTTTAAAAGACACTTATGTTTTATATACTGATAATTTTTATTATTATTGATTTTTATTTTTTTTTACAACTTGCAGTATCGCTGCTGTATACCCGAAAGTATATTTACTTTCGCTCAAGAGTTTCCCGTTTCCATGCAAAAAGATAAATGCTGGAAGATTCCTTGTGGGCATCTAGAACAGAAGTCTTCAAACTTGGCAGCTTTAAGACTTGTGGACTTCAACTCCCAGCATAGCTGGCTGGAGAATTCTGGGAGTTGAAGTCCACAAGTCTTAAAGCTGCCAAGTTTGAAGACTTCTGTTCTAGAAGCTAAATCAGAATACTGGAACACTGGTGAAATTTTGGAAATAGAAGCAGAAATAATATTAAAAATGATAGGAATGACAAGAACCCCAAAACAGTGGCCAGGCTGGCTCGTTTTCTTTGTAAGTTTTTTAACATCTTCTCTTTCTTTGCTGGACCAACTGGACCATGGATGGTTGTAATGCCAAGATGAAAAGCAGGGTGAGGACATTATTGGTGGTTCAAAACCATATATTGAGTTTTATATCGAAGGCAGAAAGAGGCTTAACTTTCTGCTTGTTGAGTATATTAAGACTCCTTCCTTTCTTCCTTCCTCCCTCCCTCCCTCCCATCCATCCATCCTTCATCTATCATCCATCCATCCATCCATCCATCCATCCATGATCCATCTCTCTCCCTCTCCCTCTCTCCCTCCCTCCCTCCCTCCCTCCCTCCCTCCCTCTCTCTCTCTCTCTCTCTCTCATTTATTTGATCCCAATCTCATATCTAACAACTCTGGGAAGTTTACAGCATAAAACATTCAAGCAGAAAAGATATTGAAATCAACAGTCCTGGAATACAGTAGATTTATAAATAGATTTATAAGTCAATTTGCTACGTTTGTCACCTTTAAGTAGCAGGAAACAAGGCCACAGTATTCTCAGCTCTTGAATCCAGATAACTATTCTTGTATTAACAGCCAGTGCTGTGTAATAGCCAAAGTGTTGAACTGGAACCAGGGAGATTAGGATCTCATCCCTCTTTTTCCATAAATCTCATTGGCTGTTTTGGACAACCTACTCTTTCTTAGTCCAATCTATTTTAGAGGATTCCAGTGGGATTAGAATGTGGGAGATACACTCTGTATCCCAAGAAAGATGGAATCAAATTTAATGTGAAGAGGAAGGAGGATGCTATAACAGTAAGACAAGAAAATATCTTGGTCTAAATCAGCGTCTCTCAAACTTGGCAACTTGAAGATGTGTGAATGTCAACTCCCACCATTCTCCAGCCAGCCCTATTAAGTTGACATCCATACATCTTCAAGTTGCCAAGTTTGAAAAAAATGGGTTTAATTGGAAGAATCTCATAATTTGGAGCCTAGTTCCTTTGCTTGCCAAGTGTATGTTCTGCCCTGCAGGCATTGTCCTTCCAAGGTTTTTTTTTCCCCTACCTCCATGAATTTATGCATGGGCCTAGCACTGTAGACAATTCCAAAGTGAAAAATAAAGATGTTATAAATACTTTCCCCCCTGAAACTGGCCTGCTAGTGAGAGCTACTATTGCAGCCCTTCAGAAGCAGAACTGTAAGTAATATAACACAGCCTTTCAGATCATTCTTAATGCATGAGACTCTTCTATGAATAATGTAAAAGCCATGTAGAGGGAGGACAGGGATTTGTCCACTGGCTTGGCCTAGCAGCATTGATAGTATAATGCAGCCTAATGGCAATACTTAAGGGGGCGTTTGTGTAAATTAACTCCCAGCATTTTACTGGACATAGCACATGTTAATAGTGTACTAGTCTTCTGCTCCATTGGGACTTAACAAGGGTTGAGTTTTTTCTTTTTTTTTTAGATATATATCCAGTGGTGGGTTGCCCCCGGTTCGGACCGGTTCTATAGAATCGGTAGTAAAACCGGCGGGAGGCTCCAACCACCGACCCCGACGTCATCAGAACGCTTCTGCGCGGCCCCGTTGCGAACCGGTAGTAAAGGTAAGTAGAACCCACCCCTGTATATATCCCTTGGCCACCTCCTAAGTAAATATACTGAGAGTGCAAAGTGGAAGTGTTAACACTGCATTCAGTGTGGCAGGCTGATCTATTTTCCCCCACACTCCATATAGTTAAAGCTGTGGTGGAACAGTGGTTAGAATGCAGTACTGCTGGCCACTTCTGCTGTCTGCCGGCTGCTGGCAGTTTGGCAGTTCAACTCTCACCAGGCTCAAGGTTGACTCAGCCTTCCATCCTTCCGAGGTGGGCAAAATGAAGACCCAGATTATTGGGGGCAATACGCTGACTCTATAAACCACTTAGAGAGGGCTGTAAAATAAGCGGTATATAAGTCCAAGTGCTATTGCTATGAAGCGCCCACAACTTCTGAGGGCAAGCTGTTCCACTGGTTAATTGTTCTTGCTGTTAGGAAGTTTCTCCTTAATTCCAGTTGGCTTCTCTCCTTGATTAGTTTCCACCCGTTGCTTCTTGTCCTGCCCTCAGGTGCTTTGGAGAATAGCTGGACTCCCTCTTCTTTGTGGCAGCCCCTGAGATATTGAGACACTATCATGTCTCCCCTAGTCCTTCTTTTCTCTAGACTACCCAAACCCAAATCCTGTAACCAATTCTTCATCAAGAACATCCCTCTGCAGCTAGGAAAATTCTGCCCAAGTTGCTAAAGAAATGAGGAAGAAGTTCAATCCCAAATTCTTCTTCCTCAAATGGATTGAAACCTGATGCACGAGGAGGAAGAAAATTCTTCCCTTTGTGCTAGTTTGACTAAAGTAACAAAGAATAAACTACAAAAGCTACATGTTTCCATGTAGGAAGGGGGGAGATCTATTCTTAGCGCCCTTTTCAAAGTCATTTTTCTTTTAGTTGTGCGGCCATCTGCTTAGAAGCTGGAACTGGACCCAGGCTGGAAATTTCCTCTTCAGGAGGGAGGGGTGATTCAGCAGCGTTTATTTTGGGAAAGGGCAAGTGAATTTAAGGTGGCATTTTAATTTTTCTAAGAGGAGGAAATTAAAAAAAAGAGTGGAGATGGAACAATCATGGAGGGAGGCTTGTTTTACAATGAGGTTCAAAGAAGGATTAAAGACTGCCGAGGAAGCTATGATTTGGTTGTTATCAGAAACATGGAGTGAGTATTTTGAGCATGGTATTTGTTGAATAAAGGTTTAAAAGATCATTACTCTTGAATTTGATTTTTCAGTCTGCTAAAAGCACATTTACTTTTATGATTGTGTGTTTCCAAGAAAAAATAGCAGGTCACAGATTTCTCAGGACGAGGTGAGGCTGTTCCTTCCCTTATTTGAAATGGAGACGGCCAAAAGCTGCCTCCGAATGACTTATCTTTCATTGTGGAGAGTCCCTTGGACTGCAAGCAGATCAAGCCAGACAATCCTAAAGGAAATCAATCCTGACTGTTCTTTGGAAAGACAGATGCTGAAGCTGAAGAAGCTCAAAGACTTTGGCCACCCAAGGAGAAGAGAGGACTCACCTGGAGAAGACATTGATGCTGGGAAAGGTGGGAAGCAGAAGGAGGAGACGGCAGAGGATGAAATGGTTAGATCAGGGGTGAAATCCAGCAGGTTCTGACAGGTTCTGGAGAACCGGTAGTGGAAATTTTGAGTAGTTTGGAGAACCAACAAATACAACCTCTGGCTGGGAATGGAAATTTTGCAGTATCCATGTCCTGGAGTGGGGTGGGAATGTAGATTTTGCAGTATCCTTCCCCTGCCATGCCCACCAAGCCACACCACGCCCATCAAACCACGCCCACAGAACCAGTAGTAAAAAAAAAATGGATTTCACCACTGGGTTAGATGGTATCGTCGATGCAATGAAGATGAATTTAGACAAACTTTGGGAGGCAGTGGAGGGCCAGGGGCTTGACTTGCATTGCTCCATGGGATCATAAAGAGTCAGACATGACTTAGTGCAAGTGTGTATGAGTGTTCATGACTGGGAAGACATGATAACAAGGTCAGCCCATGAATAGGCATGGAAACTGGGTCAGCCAATGAGAGCTGAATTGGAAACTGAAACCAGAAGGAGCCTGGGCGTGGCTCTGTATTAAGCTCTGAGTTCTGAAGCTGCAAACAAGTCCGGTCATGCCTGTCTGCTCAACTGAAACTAAGAACTAACTTACAATCTTTCCTCTCTACCACCTTGAAGAATCTGCTGTTGGTATTGTAAGTTTACTTCATGTGTTATTATGTATATAAAGACATTAATGAATCCTGCTGAATCAGTTATCTGTGTGTGCTTTCTGGAAGCGATTTTTGCAACAAACTCTTGACACTTAGCGACTGAACAACAGATCAATCTTTCTTATCTTCCCTGGCTTCCATTAAATACCAAAGGGAAGATTACCGTCAATAACTTTCTCAGATTGGGAAGTGTGTATGGCAAAGAGGACTTCAGAGTGATGGGCAGATGTGCAACAGATAACAACAACACTATAGTTGTTATGGCTGTAGTGTTGTATTGTATTGTATATTTTGACAGTAACACCTTAAGGAAGAAAAGGTATGAGAAATGACAAAGCAGATTTTGGCAGAACATTGGATAATGCTCTGCCATGGAATACACTGCTCCAATTAACTCAACTAACATGACAAGAAAGTATAATGGGGGAGATATATCTATCTTGACTTTTTCCTGCCTTTATCCCAAAGGATAAAGGAAAAAATGGACATAGAAGCCGTGTTAGTAGTAAACATATTTTCTTTAAGGTACATTGGAGTGTCTAAACCACCTAGGCAGGCAAAGCCAAGATAATTATAAGAAACTAGAAATCACTAATTTCTAAACACACATATACACAAAATTACAGAACCTTCAAAATAAGATAGACAAATATACCTTTTTCTATGCAATGGAAGACCATTTAACCAAGCCTTAGAAAGCCAAAATTTTTGGATGATAATTAGAGAGAACCTGTATGTAGAAAGAGATACCGTCTTTTTTGGAGTATAAGACGCATCTTTTCCCCCACCAAAAGAGGCTGAAAATTTGGGTGCGTTCTTATACTCCGAATGTAGCTTTTTCGAAGATTTTTTCAGCCCTAACAAGGCGCTAGCAAGTGAAGCAATCTTCTGCGCTTCGCCTGCTTTTCTCATTGCTGCTCCCTCCGACGATCAGCTGTGCTTTAGAAGCTTTTTTTCAGTCCTAACGAGGCACTAGTGAGGCGCTAGTGAGTGAAGCGAACTTCCCAGCTTTGCCTGCTCCCTTGACTCTCCACTGCAAGAGAAGCTATCTCCATGCTTGGCTCCGACTCTCAGCTGTTCTTTAGAAGCTTTTTTTCCAGCCCTAACTAAGCGCTAGCCGAGTGAAGTGATCTCCCCGTACTTTGCCTGCTTTTCTCATTGCTGCTTCCTCTCAGCTGTGCCTTAGAAGTTGTTTTTGATCCCCAATCAGGGGATAAAAAACCAGCAAACTAATGTGCTGAAGCTGACCAGACTAAGGATGCTAGCCAGATAAATACCTGGTAGGCAGATTTTCCCCCCCTATTTTCCTCCCCAAAAACTAAGCTGCGTCTTATACTCCAAAAATATGGTATATTATAGCTCTCAAAGCTATAATATACCATATTTCAAATCATCTCCAAGCTGTTTTATGAACTAATATAGACCTTGCTTCTAAAAAGAATCCTAGTGACGTAGTGGTTAAAATGCAATATTGCAGGCTAACTCTGCCCACAGACTGGAGTTCAACCAGCTGACCGGCTCAATCTTCCATCCTTCTGAGGTCAGTCAAATGAGGACCCAGATCGTTAAGTGCAATATGCTACCATTGTAAAACCCCGAGAGAGTGCTCTAAAGCATTATGGAGCAATATATAAATCTAAGTGCTATTTCTATTGCTAAAAAGCAAAACAAAGCCACTACAATGTTTTATTTTTCATCGGCTCCTCTGATGAAGCTCCTCTAATAGCTGGACAACACTTCTGAATATATGTGCTGTCTTTTAGCAAAGATAGCGATAGCACTTAGACTTATATACCGCTTTATAGTGCTTTACAGCCCTCTCTACGAGGTTTACAGAGTTAACGTATTTCCCCAACAATTTGGGTCTTCATTTTACCCACTTCAGAAGGATGGAAAGCTAAGCCAACCTTGAGCCTGGTGAGATTCGATTTGCCAAATTGCAGGCAGCCGGCAGTCAGTAGAAGTAGCCTGCAGTACCGCACTCTAACCACTGCACCACCGCGGCTCACCATGGATCACCCCCCTCACGCAGGCCTGCCTGCTATCTATGTTCCATAAACCCTGGTTCTACTTAAAATCCAGTCTGAAAATGCCAGACCTCCATTGCCACAAACCCAATTCTCTTCCTTCAAACTATCAATTGAAATAGGGGAAGAAATGTTTATGCTACCATTAGCACAAAGGATCAAGGCCAATGTTAGCGTTTTCGCTAGATGCCCTCCCCGAGAATGGACGTTGCTTATCTGTGCAATGTGGCCATTGGTCTTTTCTTCATTTAACCACTTGACAGCTAGGACAAAATAGTAATAAAATATGCTGAGGTGACATTGATGATTACACGCTGACTTTCCTTGCGCGGTTACTTCTTTCTTCTTCTTCTTCTTCTTCTTCTTCTTCTCCTCCTCCTCCTCCTCCTCCTCCTCCTCCTCCTCCTCCTCCTCCTCCTCCTCCTCCTCCTCCTCCTCTTCTTCTTCTTCTTCTTCTTCTCTAAGTCGCTTCTCACTTACAGTTTTATTGATCTCAGATAAGATTGAATGGGATATCTCTGTGATCTTCTGGGACGAATCCTACATAACGTATAGATGTTTTTATTTCTCAGGCACAACTATGCTAAAACTCCACAAAATAGGTTACCAGGGCAGCTTTCCATTGATTTCGTGTCCACTTATTCTTTCTGAGCAGGGCTGGATGCTTTATCTATAATTCAGAAGGCTACAAACCTGCTAGATCCTGAAGGACTTCGCGGGTCCTGAAGGAGATGCTAAACTATCACTCTACAATGGTAGGAATGCTGTTTTCAGTTGTTGCAACAAAGGAGGCCAAAATGTCTCTGTTTTGTTGGGCTTGTGTCAGAAACACAGCCAAGCCCATGGCACAAACATGCAGGCTTTTCAGGTAGCTTGTAAGATTCCAGTCAATGCCAGTTGAATGCCCAACTTTCAATATTTTTGAAGTCTAGCAAAACCAACACCAATATGGCTGTGGCTTGACTATAAAAGGCATTTATTAGGCTTTGCCAAGTTACAATATTTAAATCTTTCTTGGTCGAGAGGGAATCTGGGCATATAATCTAAGCATGTACATAATGCTAAACCAACGCTTTCTTTCTTTCTTTCTTTCTTTCTTTCTTTCTTTCTTTCTTTCTTCCTTCCTTCCTTCCTTCCTTCCTTCCTTCCTTCCTTCCTTCCTTCCTTCCTTCCTTTCTTTCTTTCTTATTGGTAACAGTGGTGAAATTCAATTTTTTTTACTACCGGTTCTGTGGATGTGGCTTGGTGGGCATGGCAGGGGAAGGATACTGCAAAATCTCCATTTCCACCCCACTCCAGGGGAAGGATACTGCAAAATCTCCATTCCCACTCCACTCCACTCCAGGGGAAGCATACAGCAAAATCTCCATTCCCTCACCACTTCTGGGGGAAGGATATTGCAAAATTTCCATTCCCACCCAACTCCACTCTAGGGGAAGGACACTGCAAAATCCCCATTCCCTCCCCACTCCAGGGGAGGAAGGACACTGCAAAATCCCCATTTCATCCCCACTCCTGGGGGAAGGATACTGCAAAATTTCCATTCACACCCAACTCCACTCCAGGGGAAGGACACTGCAAAATCCCCATTCCCTCCCCACTCCAGGGGAAGGGACACTGCAAAATCCCCATTTCATCCCCACTCCTGGGGGAAGGATATTGCAAAACCTCCGTTCCCATCCCACTATGGGGCCAGCCAGAGGTGGTATTTGCCGTTTCGCCGAACTACTCAAAATTTCCACTACCGGTTCTCCAGAACCTGTCAGAACCTGCTGGATTTCACCCCTGATTGGTAGTCCTTGGCTTACGGCCACAATTGAGTTCAAAATTTCTGATGCTAAGGGGAAACATTTGTTAAGTGAGTTTTACCCCATTTTACGACCTTTCTTGCCACAGTTGTTAAGTGAATCAGTGCATTTCTTAAGTTAGTAACCCGGTTGTGAAGTGAATCTAGCTTCCCCATTGAATTTGCTTGTTAGAAGGTCACAAAAGGGGATCACTTAACACTAGGGCATTGTAACCGTCATAAATATGAGTTAGGTTGCCAGGCGTCTGAATCTTGATCATGTGATCATGGGGATGCTGCAAAGGTTGTAAATGTGAAAAATAATCACATAATCCTAAATCACATTCTTCACTGCTTGTGTAACTTTGAATGGTCACGAAACGAACTGTTGTTAAGTCGAGAGAAAAGCCTAATGCTGGGAAAGATTGAGGGCAAAAGAAGAAGGGAACGGCAGAGAACGAGGTGGCTGGATGGAGTCACTGAAGTAGTCGGCGTGAGCTTAAATGGTCTCCGGGGGATGGTAGAGGACAGGAAGGCCTGGAGGAACATTGTCCATGGGGTCACGATGGGTCGGACACAACTTCACAACTAACAACAACAATAGCCTCCTGAATGAAAACTTACAGTTCTGTAAGCCTCAGCGTCTTGAAGAGTAACCACGAAAGAGTGGTCAACCGGTTACCTGAGAGATTTCTGGGGACAAAAAAGAGAAAGAATTTACAATCAATCAATCAGTCATCATCTCCTCTTCTTTGCAACTTTTTCTCCTCTGCAAGCAAGTAGTGTAAATTGAAACAAAAAAAAGCCCAAAATAGTTAGAACTGAAAATATGACAAGTTTGGAATTAAACCAGAATTCCCCTTCCATTTAAATCTTAAAAGGAGAACAATAAAGTTGAGGGAAAATTTGACAGCATGTGAAATGTTCTCTCTGAGCATAGATATTATTAAATTAGGAATAATCTGTAGCTGTTATTTCCAATGATTAATTAGTAATCTTTTTTTAAAGGAAAGAAGAATCAGTAAGCAAGCAAATATTGATCAAAATAGCATATGCATTCCAGCCATTTTTAAAGCAAAGTTCTATGTCCAGAATATTTTTTTTAATACATTTTTATACATTCATCAGAATCCAGCAACTAACATAAATTATCCATATTAGCAACCATGTATTTACTTTATGGGTTTTTTGTTTACCTATTTCATTCCAAAATATTTACTATTCCAAAATTGTGCAGGCAATTTCATTGCTTCTAATTCGTCATCAATATATGAGCAATACAGAGTAATAATAGTTCGCTAGTAAAGTTATCTGTTATAAATACTATATAGTTATGTCAATGGATAAACACATAATGTACATAAATATCTGGATATAATTTGAACATTTATGATCTTAAAGAAGCCCTTTCTCTCTTATCCATAGTTCTTTCAATCTTCATAAGGAAACAATACTAACATAATCTTCAAGGCTTTTCCACCAATTCAAATATTATTATTGAGTTTCCTACATCACAGTGATTAAGTTCCAATGTGATTTGTTTTGATTTTAGCATTAGGAATGCACTCAATCATGTCTTGGGGCTATATGTGATTCTAGTCATTGTGGTTAACAAATCATGGTTAACAAAGTCATAGCTTAACACAATTTGTAAATCCAATCAAGAAATGCAAAGCTATGAGGAAAATTAATGTAATGTAGTACAATATGGTATAATTCAGTAGGGTAAAGTAGAGTAGGGCAGGGTAGGGTATCTTATGGCATCTAACAGCATTGTAACCAGACCAGTTTACTAGACTGTTAAATTCCATAGACTTTGCATGCATGGATCAAATTTTTGCAGTGTTTTAACTCATTTGCGTAATAACATAACTTTGACATTTGAATGATATAATGTGCATCAATTACATAGTTTGTTTGGTGACATCATCATGCAAATTACAGAAAAAGGATGCAAACTATGTCACCCCAATAATATCCCACTCTCCAATTTAACCATCAGCAATTAAAGTCATACAAAAGTATAAAACAAATATTTTCTCCATCAAATGACACAACAAAGTTCCTGCTTGTAGCAATAAAAAGTTGGTAGACGATGCTGGAGAAGACTCCTGTGAGTCCCTTGGACTGCAAGGCGATCAAACCAGTCAGTCCTAGAGGAGATCAACCCTGACCGCTCTTTAGAAAGCCAGATCCTGAAGATGAAACTCAAATCCTTTGGCCACCTAATGAGAATGAAGGACTCACTGGAGAAGAGCCTAATGCTGGGAAAGATTGAGGGCAAAAGAAGAACGGGACGACAGAGAATGAGGTGACTGGATGGAGTCACTTAAGCAGTCGGTGTGAATTTAAATGGACTCCAGGGGATGGTAGAGGACAGGAAGGCCTGGAGGAACCTTGTCCATGGGGCCACGATGGGTTGGACATGACTTCACAACTAACAACAACAAGGCAGTCTTTATGTTGAAGAGCATATTTCTATGATCTTTGGCTTTGATTCTGATTCTCACTCTACAATATATGTAATCCAATGCAAACCTTAGCATCTTAAAACTAGAGTAGAGCATAATGATCCAGGTGGCAGGTTGTATATAAAAAAATGGGAAGATACCAGAAAGGTAACTTTACAAAATCTAGAGTAGGGAATTTTAACACCAAGGGAATGAGAAAAAGAGGCCTAAATTTGTTTCTTGCATCTTTGTGTTATTCACGTTGAGACTGTTGCCATGGCAACCTGAGATCAACTTCATAGTCCCCACTCCGGCTGGGAAAGGCATAACCCCTCCCCTAGAATGTGAAATCTATTTACCCCAGGAACTATTTATAAGCCAGCATCCTCAACTGCCCCAACCCTTCACTCTTTTTCCAAGATATTTTGGGCAAATATCTTGTTTAAAGGAGAGAGGGAAGAGGAGAGAAAGAGAGAAATTACAATCAAGAATGTTTCATTTGCACAATGCGGTCAGTTTAAACACCTTCGATTTTGTTGACCCATTATATATAGATTTCTGTAAGTAAATATTTTAAAGCATTGAGCATATAATGTAAGTCCATATAGATTCTCAGTCATTCAGGTCATGGTTGTCCAAAAGGTGTTTTTTCAGGAGGCAACTGGATTTCCTTATTTTTTCTTTGAAGACGTTTTGCTTCTCATTCCAAGAAGCTTCTTCAGCTCTGACTGGATGGTGAGGAATGGAAGGATTTATATTCCTTGCAGGGAGTTCGTCATTTGCATTCTTTTAAAGAGTCACTGAGGCCACTTGGAGGTTTGTCTGTGTCCTTAAGGAATATAAATCCTTTCATTCCCCACCATCCAGTCAGAGCTGAAGAAGCTTCTTGGAATGAGAAGCAAAACGTCTTCAAAGAAAAAACCAGAAAGTCCAGTTGCCTCCTGAAAAAGCACCTTTGGGACATATAATGTAAGGATGCATGTCAGTCAACATTTAAAAAATGAGGGACAATACTCCACTGCTGGCCTTTTTCAAAGAACTATTTAGAAATATCCTTAAAGAAATCCCACCCATTTTCATTCACAAATTTCTGCAATGTGTTAATTCTGCGACGGTTTGATGTAAACTCATGAAGATATTTTTTTTATTTTATAAAACAAATATTCATATCTCTTCCATATAAATATTTTCAGCATATGTTTACCAAGTTCTTATACGGCTACTTCTTTTAATGTGCAAGTTTCCATGGCATAAACTTTTTTCTGTCAAAAAAATATTTTTGTTGTTGTTATCAACCCAAGAAAGATTAAACCCTAATGGACTCCATTCAATATTGAAATAAATATCCACGGTGGCGCAGTGGTTAGAATGCAGTACTGCAGGCTACTTCTGCTAATCGCTGGCTGGCTGCAATTTGACAGTTCGAATCTCACCAGGCTCAAGCTTTTGACTCAGCTTTCCATTCTTCCGAGGTCGGTAAAATGAGGAGCCAGATAGTTGGGGGCAATAGGCTGACTCTGTAAACTGCTTAGAGAGGGCTGTAAAGCACTGTGAAGCGGTATATAAGTCTAAATGCTATTGCTATTGCTAAATCTCAAATTCAGTCCCACACATATCCTTGAAACTTCCCCTTTATATTATATCTTTTGACCCAAAGTTGTTTTACACATACACCAAAACAGTGATACTTCTATGCAAAAATGCTTCGCCGTTATGATTGGAATAAAATTCAGAATTCCTTTGGTACACATACTATGCAAAATTGTAATGTAGCTTTGTTGAGCAGATTTTATATGAGTCATCTGTAATGTTTCTGGCATAAGGAAAGAGTGTGAAATCATCATGTGGTTTGGGGAAAACATACAAGAATCAGCCACAGGACTTGATAAACCATGATCAGCAGCTTAGCACCTTATCTGAAGCCAATTGTGGTTTATTCAACAAGTCGTCTCTTGCCGTACTGCTTGAATCAGCTTCCTTTCCCTTGCAGTACATATACATGGACAGCTTCACAACCTAAAACCCTTCATTCATGTTGCATTGCCACTGTGTAAAATGTTATATTTCTCCTAAAACCATCCATAGTTCCACTGTTCTCTCACTCACACCGTATGTCTCACACATGCTTCCTAAGAGTTATGCAAGCCACAGGATTCTTCCCTTCTTTCGCCTTGCGCACCGTTCTTTCCAAGCTCTACTGCCCATTATAAAGCCCTCTTGTTGTGACCTTGTTTGCCGCCACAAATGGCAAGGTGCGCGAATCGTGAGCAAGAAGCCCAGAGGCTCATTAAGGGCACAGCAGCCTGCTAAAGGAAATGCTCGGAGCCAGGAGAGAGGAAGTCACGAAGCAAGCTCTGGGAAGTCGAGGCCATCACAGCCTACAACAAGATCACTATTTAACTCTTCGCATGCGCTCCACACACAAAGCCGCCAGCTGCTACTGTGGGTCCTGCTCAAGGCTTAGGAGATCCAGAGAGACCTGTAGTCTTTGGCATTCAAATACCGTTCTGTTCAGGATTTGGGAGAACATCGACATGGTGCATTGTGGAAGAAGCTATAGTTCAATCTCAGCCTTCCACAGATGTGAGCTTGTAAGGCTGACATGATGGGAAACAGAAATAGCTTCTGTTTCCTTCAAACTAATGAATGAATCTGCCCCAGTAGTGTTTATGGTAGAAGGGTCACAGCCACCTACCTGACTGTCTCTGTCCCATTTTCCACGCATTAATTTTTAACTTAGGTTCTCGTAGCACGGTAAGTCATCAGGTGGTGTGTTTAGTTTAAGGTGCCATGTAAAAAGCAATAGCACTTACACTGCACAGCCCTCTCTAAGTGATTTACAGAGTCAGCATATTGCCCCCAACAATCTGGGTCCTCATTTTATACGCTGTTGGAAGGTATGATTCACTCTTCTCCTAGAAAAAGGAAAAGAAACTCAAAAAATATTAAAAGAGCAGGAAAAGAAAATAAGCAGAAACTCAGGCAGAAGTTTCAGCCCCCACCTTTGTCAATGGGCCATGAATGGTCAATGAAGCCACCCTATTTTCCACAACAAAGGAAGGACAAAATTACAAGGGCCTGCAACGTCCAAACAGGTATGGGACACAGAAAAAAGCAAACACCCAAAAAGGAAAAGAAATCAAGCCAAAGTAATTAGAATTTTAAACACATGAGAAAAGGAGATACTCCCTAAAACACAGTAATAGCAAACTGATTAATTATAGGAAACAAACAACTACAAAG